GATTGAGGGGGGGGAATAAGGCTGTAACGTAACAAAGTACAAAAGTGTCTAGAGATGGGATGGCCGAGAGAGACCTGAAACAAATATATATTTTTAGATCTCTGAAAGCTTACAGGGCCCTCTCTCTCTCAGTATCTTTATATGCCTATCAAATATTTACATGCGGGCTTCTTTAGTGATAATTGTTACATATGTTAGACATGTCTATCACATGTACACTACACACACTTCAATGGATCAAAGTATTTATTTCACAAATAGCAATGTTTTCTATAATGGGTTGCCCATCCCATATGGTCATACATATATCTGACTCTCACAAACCTATCTGGCCCCATCTTATGCATTAACCAGGGTTATAGTGACACCTGCTGGTTACCAGAACTAGAATTATGCTGGTAACTGAACATGAAAACCCTGAGAACCTGTTACCACCAACGGAGACAAATCAGTGGTCCACTCCTTTAATTCACTTAGAAAGGTCTGTGCAAATAACACACAAGTCAAAGAGGAATAGACGGTTGATTATATGAGCAGCTAGCCATGATTTTCAGTTTCTCAAACAAAAGAAAGCAATACAAATCCCTTAACAAAACCTATCCTAAAGAACATTACAGAAATATACACACACACACAGAAACACGCACCCAAACAAACATCTAGACCACAGAACACCATGGCAGTCAGATTTCACAATAGGAAATACACATCTCATATTCATCATTTTGAGATGAAAATAACAAAATATAAGTGTATTGGAATTTCAAAATAGTATTTGGGTATCCAAATATTGAAAATATTAACATAAAAAAATGTGGCCTTAATTTAGCATCAGCTTTCCTCTATGCTTCTGTTACATTGATAGCTGGTTTCTACTTGGTCGACTGTCCATTCTAGTCTTCAACTCTACTTAGTAGCAGACATATTATAAAAACAAAGCATCATAATTATTCAAATATCCGTGTGCTGTGTTGGTCTGAGCAGCAGTAGGTCAACTAAGTTAGTATATCCCTAATTAACCATTTCAGTGTCACAACATACAGGTAACTGCCAAAATAATGGAAACACTTGAGTAAATGAGGGATACAAAGTAGTACATTGAAAGCAGGTGCTTCCACATAAGTGTGGTACCTGAGTTAATTAAGCAATTAACATCCTATCATGCTTAGGTCCATGTATAAAAATGCTGGGCAGGCCATTATTTTGGCTACCATGTCTATGCCCCAATAGGATGACAATGCCCCCATCCACACGGCACGAGTCATCACTGAATGGTTTGATGAGCATGAAAATTATGTGAACCATATGCCATGGCCGTCTCAGTCACCAGATGTCAACCCAATTGAACAGTTATGGGAGATTCTGGAGCGGTGCCTGAGACAGCGTTTTACACCACCATCAACAAAATACCAAATTATGGAATTTTTGTGGAAGAATAGTGTTGCATCCCTCCAACAGAGTTCCAGACACGTGTACAATCTATGCCAAGGTGTATTGAAGCCTTTCTAGCTTTTGGTGGCCCAACACCCTATTAAGACACTTCATGTTGGTGTTTCCGTTATTTTGGCAGTTACCTGTATGTAGAGCATTCATTTTTCCAAGAAGGGTGTAATTGCAGAACGCAATTAGGGACATTTTCCGATACAGGCATTTCTTGATATCAAGTTACACCCATTGATGCTCGCCATTGGTCCGTGGCATTGTAGCTAAGCCTAACCTGCTATGTAAACAAATCATGTGTCAAGAAACCATCAGTCTCATAACACCGGAATAGACCAATAGCAGGTATCAATGGGCGTTTCCTGATATCAGGGAACACCCATTTTAAGAAACGCCCCAAATTGTGGTCTGCAATTACACCATATTCGTTTTTCCTAATCCTATGAAGTCACAGTGCATAAGAATGTAGTACAAAACATCAGTAGAAAAACTAACACATACACTGAGTGTACAAAACATTAGAAACGCCTTCCTAATATTGAGTTGCACCCCCTTTTGCCCTCAGAATAGCCTCAATTCATTGGGTCATGGACTCTACAAGGTGTTGAAAGCGTGGCTGGATGCTGGCCTATGTTGACTCCAATCCTTCCCACAGTTGTGTCAAGTTGGCTGGATGCCCTTTGGGTGGTGGACCATTCTTGATACACACAGCAAACTGTTGAGCGTGAAAAACCCAGCAGCTTTGCGGCTCGACACACTCAAACCGGTGCACCTGGTACCTACTACCATACCCCATTCAAAGGCACTTAAATCTTGCCCGTTCACCCTCTGAATGGCACACATACACAATCCATGTCAATTGTCTCAAGGCTTAAAAATCCTTCTTTAACCTATCTCCTCCCCTTCATCTACACTGATTGAAGTGGATTTAACAGGTGACATCAATAAGGGATGATAGCTTTCACCTGGATTCACCTGGTCAGTCTGTGTCATGGAAAAAGCAATGTTCCTAATGTTTTGTCCACACAGTGTATAACCATTGAAGTGCTTTGTGGGAAGTCATTTGCACTCAACAAACAGAAACAAAGAAAACGTTTACATCAAAATCTCTAGAACACTGGTAGGAGAATGGAATGCAGTGACATGGCTACAGCTCTACTTCAAGAAGCTGCACAATACTCTAGCATGAGAAAGTAAGGGCTAAACTCACTTCCTGAATGGATGTGGTTGTTGTTGTTTTTTTTACTGTTGAGAGTTGAGACCTTGTTAGAACTGGAGTGGAATACAGTAACTAGTACAGTAAAACAACATGTTTTTAACATTAAGACCAGTGGTGTAGCGGAGGGTAAACGCTAAAGAAAACGCAGTTTATGCACCTTTATTTTGCGTGAGCGTTTACCCAGCATTTGCAGTACAAATGCATTGAAAGTATACGAAGCATTAAGAGATGATGATGTCGTCTTTGGATCAGAGGCTGTAGTTTGACATTAATTCGTCTTCCATCTCTCTAATTGCCTTTAGCTGAATAGTAACAATAACACTGGGCCTCAACATTTAGCTTATTTTAGGACGTAATTTACATGCTCTTACAGTGAGGGAAAAAAGTATTTGATCCCCTGCTGATTTTGTACATTTGCCCACTGACAAAGACATGATCAGTCTATAATTTTAATGGTAGGTTTATTTGAACAGTGAGAGACAGAATAACAACAAAACAATCCAGAAAAACACATGTCAAAAATGTTATAAATTGATTTGCATTTTAATGAGGGAAATAAGTATTTGACCCCTCTGCAAAACATGACTTAGTACTTGGTGGCAAAACCCTTGTTGGCAATCACAGAGGTCAGACGTTTCTTGTAGTTGGCCACCAGGTTTGCACACATCTCAGGAGGGATTTTGTCCCACTCCTCTTTGCAGATCTTCTCCAAGTCATTAAGGTTTCGAGGCTGACGTTTGGCAACTCAAACCTTCAGCTCCCTCCACATATTTTCTATGGGATTAAGGTCTGGAGACTGGCTAGGCCACTCCAGGACCTTAATGTGCTTCTTCTTGAGCCACTCCTTTGTTGCCTTGGCCGTGTGTTTTGGGTCATTGTCATGCTGGAATAACCATCCACGACCCATTTTCAATGCCCTGGCTGAGGGAAGGAGGTTCTCACCCAAGATTTGACGGTACATGGCCCCATCCATCGTCCCTTTGATGCGGTGAAGTTGTCCTGTCCCCTTAGCAGAAAAACACCCCCAAAGCATAATGTTTCCACCTCCATGTTTGATTGTGGGGATGGTGTTCTTGGAGTCATAGGCAGCATTCCTCCTCCTCCAAACACGGCGAGTTGAGTTGATGCCAAAGAGCTCCATTTTGATCTCATCTGACCACAACACTTTCACCCAGTTCTCCTCTGAATCATTCAGATGTTCATTGGCAAACTTCAGACGGGGCTGTATATGTGCTTTCTTGAGCAGGGGGACCTTGCGGGCGCTGCAGGATTTCAGTCCTTCACGGCATAGTGTTTTACCAATTGTTTTCTTGGTGACTATGGTCCCAGCTGCCTTGAGATCATTGACAAGATCCTCCCGTGTAGTTCTGGGCTGATTCCTCACCGTTCTCATGATCATTGCAACTCCACGAGGTGAGATCTTGCATGGAGCCCCAGGCCGAGGGAGATTGACAGTTCTTTTGTGTTTCTTCCATTTGCGAATAAATCGCACCAACTGTTGTCACCTTCTCACCAAGCTGCTTGGCGATGGTCTTGTAGCCCATTACAGCCTTGTGTAGGTCTACAATCTTGTCCCTGACATCCTTGGAGAGCTCTTTGGTCTTGGCCATGGTGGAGAGTTTGGAATCTGATTGATTGATTGCTTCTGTGGACAGGTGTCTTTTATAAAGGTAACAAACTGAGATTAGGAGCACTCCCTTTAAGAGTGTGCTCCTAATCTCAGCTCGCTACCTGTATAAAAGACACCTGGGAGCCAGAAATCTTTCTGATTGAGAGGGGGTCAAATACTTATTTCCCTCATTAAAATGAAAATCAATTTATAACATTTTTGACATGCGTTTTTCTGGATTTTTTTGTTGTTATTCTGTCTCCCACTGTTCAAATAAACCTACCATTAAAATTATAGACTGATAATTTCTTTGTCAGTGGGCAAATGTACAAAATCAGCAGGGGATCAAATACTTTTTTCCCCTCACTAACTCCTTCAGTGACAAATACCTGCAGTCGCCTGCTTTCTAAAACCACCGTTGTTTCTCTGAAGTTGAAACTGCTGTAATCTAGACAAAGCATCCTCCTCCTCCTTTCCTGTGATCCTCCTCTTCCTCTCCTTGCTTTGCTGCAATAACCAGTCATATACAACACATCCTTGTATTGTAACATGTCCCCCTGTCATTCCCTGAGTGGTTTGTCTATCCATCTATGGCACAGTCTGAAATGGCACCCTATTCCCTAGTGCACTACTATTGGCTGGTAGTGCAATGTATGGAATAGACCAACATGTCTGCTGTGCCCTCAGTATATCTCAGTACATGGACTCACTGTCCCGAAGGTTTCCAAACGGCAGACTGAAGGTGCTGCCCAGTCTCTTGGTGGCTCTGCCCCCTCCCCTATTCTTCTTCCTGTTCCAGTTGAGTAAGGGGGCGGTGCTCTGCCCCTTAGCCCCGCCCATGGTCCGTAGCCGAGCGTTCTCTTCGTCTCCGCTGGGGGAGAGCATCACTGGCCTCCTATCCACCTGAACACACACACACACACACACACACAGGAGATGTAAAACAACAAACACACACCTTTATATTTTACAAGGAGTACGTGCTCCTAAATTGAAAAATGTAAGTGCACACAAAGAAATGTAGGCGCACAATGACAAATATAATCTTTCTAGGCGTACTGGTGCGCCAAAATTACAACTCCAGGAGCCCTGACACACACATTAATGCAAGATCAAAGACAGATGCACGCGCACACACAGACACCCACACGCACCCTTACCTGTGTATCGTGTGTGTGCAGTGTGATGACGCTGAGTTGTACTCCTCTGTCGCTGCAGCTCTTCAGGGAGTGGACCACCTCTCCATGTTTAGCCCACTTAAAGTCCTCTCCATCCACCGCCACTATATAGTCCCCCTCCCTCAAACCTGCCTCCTGAAAACACATACACAGTATATTTCATTGCTGCATGAAATACTGTACATTTTCCGTTCGAGAATCTTAGGAAATAGGAAAGCAGAAGGTTAAGAGGAGACAGGGTGCTACCATCTCACCTGTGCACATCCCCCCGGCACCACCCCAGCCACCAAGACAGGAGAGTCTCCTCTGAGAGTCAGCCCCAGACCCCCCTCCCCTCGCTGGAGACACACCACACGCACCGGCCCCCAGCGTGCCCTTGCACAGAACACTGACAGGGGACCCTGCAGCGCACACACACACAGAGAAAGAGACAGGGATATCATCTTCATCATAATCATGATCAACTTCAAAACATAATCAAAGTCATAGTCTCCCTCTCTTACCAGCCTTTGGAAGATGTCAGTGACTGGGACAGTGGAGAAGTTGGGTGGTGTGATGTCTGGTTTGTGCTGGGTTTGAGCTGAGGGACAGGAGGGACAATCATCACTTACTACTATGTTGTATGTTCAGAAGTTATAACACACACCTCTCACAAAAACACACTCCTTCCCTCCCTCACTCACAGTGTATCTCGGGGGCCTCTGCAGTCTCGTCGAAGTCGTCCTCTCGGTCCATCTCAGAGTATTTGTCCAGGGAGCGTTTGTACATGAAAGAGAGCACCTCCTGTAGAATATCCATCTTCCTCAGGATCTTACATAGACCATGTACTCTCATAGCCTCCTCATGTCTGATCACTGCACAACGCAGGTGGGCCTTACCTACAGCGTGCGTACACACACACACACACACACACACACACAGCGCTTTAGTAGGTACTCACAACGACCATGCACACAAATCAAATATCTTTCTGTGTGTGTACTCACCCAGTTTGCGTCTGTCCTCGGGGTCTCTGAGCACCTGGCTGAGTGGGGGTCCGGCAGGAGTACTGACATGGAACTGGAGGAGAGCCTTCTCGGCCTCTTCATCACCCTCCTCTTCCTCAATGGACTCTACAGAACACAACAGACACTTTTATCCACAGTGACTTGCAGTACAATGACTGCATCCATTTTATGTATGTGCAGGAATAAAACCCACCACCTTGCGCCACACACACACACGTCATGCTCGCACCAACTGAGACCACACACACACACACGTTCTCATAAACCATCATCCTTGACACACACAGGTACTTACGGGCGTGGTCACAGAGAGCGACAGCAGCATTGTAGTGGGAGAGGGCTCTAAAGTGTTCTGCTTTCACTTGAACCATGGAGGCCCAGGAGAATGGGACATAGTCCTTCACTAGGGTCTGAGACATGGTCTGGAGTACCAAGCTATACACATTAGATACCTGCAGAGAGAGAGATTAAGAGAGAGAGAGATGCTCAGCAGGCTCTGCTCACACTTACTGGTCTGAGGCAAAACCACATGACTAACAACAGACACTTTATGGAACAAAGCCTTCACTATCTCATCCTGGAATATCCAAGGCCTGAGGTCATCTGCCTTTGGCATAAAGAGCAACAACCTGGACTTCACCAAAGAAATGAGAAATACAGACATTGTCATCCAACAAGAAACATGGTATAGAGGATATGGACCCACTGGTTGCCCTCTAGTTACAGAGCTGGTAGTCCCATCCACCAAACTACCAGGAGTTGAACAGGGAAGAGACTCAGGGGGTATGCTAACTTGGAATAGAGCAGACCTACTAACACACTATTAAATTAGCCAAAACAGGAACATTTTACATTTGGCTAGAAATTCAAAAGGAAATTATCTCAGAAAAATGTCCTCCTGTGTGCTACCTATATCCCACTCATTAGAATCCTCATACTTTAATGAAGACAGTTTCTCCATCCTGGAGGGGGAGATCAATCATTTCCAGTCCCAGGGACATGTACTAGTCTGTGGTGACCTAAATGCCAGAACTAGACAAGAACCTGACACTATCAGCACACAGGGGGACAAACACCTACCTGGAGGTGACAGCATTCCCTCCCCCATATGCCCCCCCCTAGACAACTACGACAACATAACCAACAAAAACGGGTAACAACTCCTGCAGCTCTGTCGCACGCTGGGTATGTACATAGTCAATGGTAGGCTTAGACGAGACTCCTATGGTAGGTACACCTACAGCTCATCCCTTGGCCGTAGTACTGTAGATTACTTTATCATCAACTTCAACCCAGAGTCTTTCAGAGCATTCACAGTCAGCCCACTGACACCACAGCAAAATCACCCATGAGGCATTGAAGCCGAACAAACTGCATACTATTAAGAAATGCTATAGATGGAAAGAAGGTAGTGTGGAAACCTACCAAAAAACTATTGGCCAACAACAAATCAAATCCCTCCTAGACAACTTCCTGGACAAAATATTTTCCTGCAGTATGGAAGAAGGTGTAAACTTAGCAGTAGGAAGCCTGAACTATATATTTGACCTATCAGCTAACATATCAAATTTAAATTCTGGCAGAAAATCTAAGACAACAAACAACAATGAGAAATGGTTTGATATAGAATGTAAAAACCTAAGAAAGTAATGGAGAAACCTATCCTACCAAAAACATAGAGAACCACAAAACGTTAGCTTACGCCTTCACTATGGTGAAACACTAAAACAATACACTAAGAAAAAAGAAGGAACAGCATGTCAGAAAACAGCTCATTGTGATTGAAGAATCCATAGAATCAAATCACTTCTGGGAAAATTGGAACACACTAAACAAACACGAAGAGCCATCTATCCACAATGGAGATGGATAAACCACTTGTCCAACCGTTTCAGCCATATAACAAAGAACCAAGAACAAAAACATGACAATTTACAAAACTTAGAATCCGCTATTAAAGACTACCACTGGATTCTCCAATTTCATTGAATGAACTACAGGACAAAATACAAACCCTCCAACCCAAAAAGGCCTGTGGTGTTGATGGTCTACTAAACTAAATGATAAAATATACAGACCACAAATTCAAATGGGCTATTCTTAAGCTCTTCAACATTATTCTCAGCTCTGGCATCTTCCCTAATATTTGGAACCAAGGCCCGATCACCCCAATCTACAAAAGTGGAGACAAATTTGACTCCAATAATTACCCTGGAATCTGCATCAGCAGCAACCTCTGAAAAATCCTCTGCAGTATCATCAACAGCAGACTCAAACATTTCCTCAGTGAAAACAATGTCCTGAGCAAATGTCAAATTGGCTTCTTACCAAGATACGTACGACAGACCACATATACACCCTGCACACCCTTATTGACAAACAAACAAACGTAAAGTTCTCATGCTTTGTTGATTTCAAAAAAGCTTTTGACTCAATTTGGCATGAGGGTCTGCTATACAAATTTGATGGAAAGCGGTGTTGCATATGACATTACAAAATCAATGTACACAAATAACGAGTGTGCAGTTAAAATTGGCAATAAACACACAGATTTAATTCCTCAGGGCCGTGGGGTGAGACAGGGTTGCAGCTTGAGCCCCACCCTCTTTAACACACACACATCAATAAATTGGCGAAGGCACTAGAACAGTCAGCAGATTATCTGGTGCTTCTGTCCTCAACCAAAGAGGGCCTACAGCAGCACCTAGATCTTCTGCACATATTCTGTCAGACTTGGGCCCTGACAGTGAATCTCAGTAAGACAAAAATAATGGTGTTCCAAAAAAGGTCCTGTAGCCAAGACAACAAATTCTATCTAGACACTGTTGCCCTAGTACACACAAAGAATTACACCTACCTCGGCCTAAACATCAACACCACAGGTAACTTCCACAAGGCTGTGAACGATCTAAGATACAAGGCAAGAGGGGGCCTTCTATGTCATCAAAAGGAACATCAAAACTCAACTAGGATCTGGCTAAACAATCTTCAGTCAGTTAACAAACCCATTGCCCTCTACGGTTGCGAGGTCAGAGGTCCACTCACCAACCAAGAATTCACAAAATGGGACAAACACCCAATTGAGACTCTGCATGCAGAATTCTGCAAAAATATACTTAGTGTAAACCGCAAAAACCCCAAACAATGCACACAGAGCAGAATTAGGACTATACCCGCTAGTTATCAAAATCCAGAAAAGAGATGTTAAATTCTACAACCACCTAAAAGGAATCGATACCCACACATTCCACCACAAAGCCCTCACCTACAGAGAGATTCACCTAGAGAAGAGTCCCCTCAGCCAGCTGGTTCTGGAGCTCTGTTCACAAACACAAACAGACCCCACAGAGCCCCAGGCCAGAAACACATTTAGACCCAATCAAATTATGAGAAAGCAAAATGATAACTATTTGACACACTGGAAAGAATCAACAAAAAAAACAGCAAATTGGAATGCTATCTGGCCCTAAACAGAGAGTACACAGTAGCAGAATAACTGACCACTGTGACTGACCTTAAATTAAGAACATCATTGACTATGTACAGACTCAGTGAGCATAGCCTTGCTATTGAGAGTGGCCGCCAAAGCGTGTAAACTCTCGAGAGCCAGGTCTGCCTATGTGCCCACAAAATGAAGTGGAAACTGAGTTACACTTCCTAACCTCCGGCCAAATTTATGACCACATTAGAGACATATTTCCCACACCTCACACAGACACACAAAGAATGTGAAAACAAATTAAACATTGATAAACTCCAATATCAGTTAGGCGAAATACCGCAGTGTGCAGTCACAGAAGCAAGATTTGTGGCCCGTTACCATGAGAAAAGGGCAACCAGTGGAGCACAAACAACATTGTAAATACAACCTATAATTTATCTGTTTATTTATTTTCCCTTTCATACTTCAACTACTTGCACATTGTTACAACACTAACCTATAGCCAATAATATAACATTTGAAATGTCTCTATTCTTTTAAAACGTTTGTGAGTGTAATGTTTACTAAATGTTTCCCTTGTTTATAGTCTATTCCATTTGCTTCAGTAATGTAAACATATGTTTCCCATGCCGATAAAGCCCTTTGAATTGACTTTTGAGAACGAGAAAGTCAGGAGAATGGAACATAGTCCTTAACCAGAACGGATGAGAAGTCTTAAACAAGGGCACTGGATCAAGGTATTGCGCACCAGTGAGTACAACATGTTTGATATCCACACACACACACACACACACACACACACACACACACACACACACGTCCCCTCACCCGTGCGGCCTCCTTTGCCACTTGTAGCTGGGTGATGAAGTGTGTGTCCTGCGTTGTGAGTGTGACTCTTTCGAACACACACTCCTGCACCTGGGCAATCATCAGCCGGACCAGCATGCATAGTGACGGGCCACTCATATCCAGACTGGGAGCATTGGAGAAGTTCTCCTTCAGGTAGTTAAATGCACCTGGACACACACACACACACCACAGCTTTTACAAGTATGTTATAACACAGTAATTACAAAGATAACACAGAGCAAAAGCAAAGTGCAACCAGAAGATTAGTGTGTGTGTGTGTGTGCATAGCATGCGATGTTATTGTGAGTGTAAGAATGTGTGGTTACCTGCAGCTCTCTGGAAGGCGTCTATAGCCCTGTCTATGCCAGCTGTAGCAGAGCGGTCCTGTCTGGCACCTATCTGTGTGTAGAGAGCCCCCATGTTGAACAGCACACTGCCCTTCTCAAACGCCAACGCACGCTGGCACGATGGCACACCTGTTAGAGAGTCATACCTAGAGACAGAGAGAGGGGGAGGGGTGTGAGAGAGAGAGAGAGGGAGAGAGAGAAGGGGGAGGGGACAGTTGAGTCTCTCTCAGAACGTTCAGTCACCCCACTGACACCTCATCAGATCACAGCAAAATCACAGTCTACTTGAACAGAGCAATACTCAATCATGAGGCATCAAAGCCAAAGGAACTGAATAATATTAAGAAATGCTATAGATGGAAGGAAAATAGTGTGGAAACCTACCAAAAAACAATTAGGCAACAACAAATTCAATCCCTTCCTGGACAGATTCAAGACAACTTCCTGGACAAAACGTTTCACAGTAATAGTGAAAGTGTAAACTTGGCAGTAGAAAACCTTAACAGTATATTTGACCTCTCAGCTTCCCTATCAAATCTAAAAATGTCAAGCAGACAACCTAAAAATTAACAGCAAAGACAAATGGTTTGATGATGCAAAAACCTAAAAGAAAGAAATTGAGAAACGTATCCAACCAAAAACAGAGACCCAGAAAACCTGAGTCTAAACAAACAACATGAAGAGTTATCTATCCAAAACATAGATGTATGGATAAACGACTTCTCCAATCTTTTTGGCTCTATAACAAAGAACACACAGCAAAAACATATACATGATCAAATACAAATCTTAGAATCAACTATTAAAGACTACCAGAACCCACTGGATTCTCCAATTACATTGAATGAACTACAGCACAAAATACAAAAACCCGCCAATGTATTTCACCCTGCACACCCTAATTGACAAACAAACAAACCAAAACAAAGGCAAAGTCTTCCCATGCTTTGTTTGATTTCAAAAAACCTTTTGACTCAATTTGGCATGAAGTTCTGCTATACAAATTGATGGAAAGTGGTGTTTGGGGAAAAAAACAGTCTGACATAAAAAAAAAATCCATGTACACAAACAAGAGTGCGGTTAAAATGAGCAAAAAACACACATTTCTTTCCACACGGCCGTGGGGTGAGACAGGGATGCAGCTTGAGCCCCACCCTCTTCAACATATAATATATATATCAACGAATAGGTGAGGGCACTAGAACAGTCTGCAGCACTCAGCCTCACCCTACTAGAATCTTAAGTCAAATGTCTACGGTTTGCTGATGATCTGGCGCTTCTGTCCCCAACCAAGGAGGGCCTACAGCAGCACCTATATCTTCTGCAAAGATTCTGTCAGACCTGGGCCCTGACAGTAAATCTCAGTAAGATAAAAATAATGGTGTTCCAAAAAAGGTCCAGTTGCCAGGACCACAAATACAATTCCATCTAGAGCACACACACAAAACTATACATACCTCGGCCTAAACATCAGCGCCACAGGTAACTTCCACAAAGCTGTGAACGATCTGAGAGACTTTCTACGCCATCAAAAGGAACATAAAATTCAACATACCAATTAGGATCTGACTACTTGAATCAGTTATAGAACCCATTGCCCTTTATGGTTGTGAGGTCTGGGGTCCGCTCACCAACCAAGAATTCACAAAAATGGGACAAACACCAAATTGAGACTGCATGCAGAACTCTGCAAAAATATCCTCAGTGTACAATATAAAAACACAAAATAATGCATGCAGAGCAGAATTAGGCCAATACCCTCTAATTATCAAAATCCAGAAAAGAGCCATTAAATTCTACAACCACCTAAAAGGAAGAGATTCCCAAACCTTCCATAACAAAGCCATCAACTACAGAGAGATGAACCTGGAGAAGAGTCCCCTATGCATGCTGGTCCTGGGGCTCTGTTCACAAACACAAACAGACCCCACAGAGCCCCAGGACAGCAACACAATTAGATCCAACCAAATCATGAGAAAACAAAAAGATAATTACTTGACACATTGGAAAGAATTAACAAAAAAACGCTATTTGGCCCTAAACAGAGTACCACAGTGGCAGAATACCTGACCACTGTGACTGACCCAAAATTAAAGGAAAGCTTTGACTATTTACAGACTCAGTGAGCATAGCCTTGCTATTGAGAAAGGCCACCGTAGGCAGACCTGGCTCTCTAGAGAAGACAGGCTATGTGCACGCTGCCCACAAAATGAGGTGGAAACTGAGCAGCACTTCCTAACCTCCTGCCAAATGTATGACCATATTAGAGACACATATTTCCCTCAGATGACACAATTTTGATAAACTCCCCTATCTTTTGGGTGAAATATATATATATATTTTATTTTTTTGTACCTTTATTTAACTAGGCAAGTCAGTTAAGAACAAATTCTTATTTACAATGACGGCCTACACCGGCCAAACCTGGACGACGCTGGGCCAATTGTGCGCCGCCCTATGGGACTCCCAATCACGGCCGGTTATGATACAGCCTGGAATCGAACCAGGGGGTCTGTAGTAAAGCCTCATCACTGAGATGCAGTGCCTTAGACCGCTGTGCCACTCGGGAGCCCATATCACAGTCTGCCATCACAGCAGCAAGATGTGACCTGTTGCCACATGAAAAGGGGATCCAGTGAAGAACAAACACCATTGTAAATACAACCCATATTTATGTTTATTTATTTTCCCTTTTGTACTTTAACTATTCTTTGCACATCATAACATTTAAAAAAATTTATAACACTGTATATATCCATAATATGGCATTTGAAATGTCTCTATTCCTTTGGAATGTTTGAGTGTAATGTTTACTGTTCATTTTTTATTGTTTATTTCACTTTTGTTTATTATCTATTTCACTTGCTTTGGCAATGTTAACATGTGTTTCCCATGCCAATAAAGCCCTTTGAATTGAACTGAGAGAAGGGAGAGAGACAGAGGATGAGACATGAACGAGAGAGGAGTAAGAGACGTGTGTGTGTGTGTGTGTGTGTGCATGCGGTGGGTTGCAGTGTGTGTGCGCGCGCGTCTGGTTTGTGTGTACCAGTGGAAGTGGACTCCTAGTGTTCGGTGTGGGGGGAAGAACCTCTGGTCCAGGTAATACAGCTGGTTATAATACTCCACCAGAAGCTCCAAACCTGCTTCATTACGACTGGGGGTACGCATGGCCTGTTGACAACAAGCACACAATTAAAACACACACACACACACACACACACACACAACATGGAATAACAACATGCATATAACATGGATATTTACAGCCACTGAGGATCATCAACCAGTCAGCCAAAAGTCACTAAGTACGTTTACATGCACAGTAATAATTGGATATTAAACTGATTATGGCAGTAGTCAGAGTATGGCAATAGTCATGTAAACACCTGACTCTGCTTATCTTAATTGGCATAAAGTCCAAATCAAAGTAAACATACGCCAATTAAAACACCTGGTTTTCTGAGCAATCTTTCAAATCAAAAGGACATGTAAACACCTTCAAATCGGCGTTCCAGCTGTGCATTTCATCTGCGCATGTGCTAGCACCAGTCGAGCGGGTCTTCCTCTTTAGCACGAGTGAAGTGAGTTCGGAACATCTGAAGTCTTAGAAGTAATTTTCACATACAAACTTTATATGCCCGAACTCAGAATCAAATATGCTTCCCAAAAATAACATATGGTTGCTGTGGTAGAACGTTTATTTTGATTGGCGATTTTCTGCCATTATCAGAGTGCCATCAGGTAGCCTGATTTCAGATGTGTCCATGTAAACAGGATTATTAGGGAAAGCATTCTTCTTGCAAAGCATGTAAACGTTTTAATTGAACTATATTAATCCTATATTAAATCTGACTATCCATAATAATCGCATTATTGTGTGCATGTAACCATACTCAATGTCATATAAATCCACTAGGTGGCAGCATCTTCAACAGCATGAGCAGTTAATTAGCATTTCAAGCAGAGGGTATCTAACCTGTCTGAGCTCCATAAACTCCTTGATCTCCTTCTCAAACAAAGAGCTGTCCTCTCCATAGTGCTCACAGATAACGTCCTGACAGAGTGAAGAAAAAGAGATACTTTATTTAAAATAAAGATGTGTTAAAATGTGAGTACTGAGAACAAGCAAGAGAGTGAGAGATGGAGAGAGATATTATCTATTGTCCTCACCTTGAGGGACAGCGAGGTCCTATTGTGCTCACCTTGAGGGACAGTGAGGTCCTATTGTCCTTACCTTGAGAGGGACAGTGAGGTCTACTTCCTTGGTCTCCTTCAGACCCAGTGGGATCATGGGAACATTGATGGCTTCACTGAAGGAGAGAGACCAACACATGTGTTAAATGACATTTGACACAAACTTCCACAGAAAACCCCAAATCTGCTTTCCCATCCGTCTCCCCCTCCCTCTCTATTATTACAGTAACCATATTGGTCAGTAGACCCTCACTCCTCTAATACCACAACACAGTGCATTAACTCCCCCCTCCCCCATGGGGTAATTAATGACAGTCTAATCAGAGGATTTGCCCCCCCTGGTGACCCTGCTTCAACTGGGATGGAAGAAATCTTAGAAATGTCGGAACTGTGCCTGGCTAACTAACACACACACACACACACACACACACACACACACACACACACACACACACACACACACACACACACACACACACACACACACACACACACACACACACACACACACACACACACACACACACACACACACACACACACACACACACACACACACACACACACACACACACACACACACACACACACACACACACACACACACACACACACACACACACACACACACACACACACACACACACACACACACACACACACACACACACACACACACACACACACACACACACACACACTTCCCTCGCCTCATTACTAGCATTCCAGGCCACTCTCATTAGGCTAGAATTAGAGCAAATAGGCCATTGTGTGTTCGCGCCCTCCATCAGGGTGTGTGTACTTTCACACCAGGCTGATCACTAGAAACAGACTTTGATTTAGGAAAATGTCCTAAGAACGTCAATATTGGCCTTCCTCGGCAGTCACACATTTTTTTCATAATTATTGCCCAGCACGGGGCGAAGAGCGGTGCTCAGACCACTGCACCATGGCAGTTCACAATGCTCTTACAAGCCAGGAGAATACTTGATGATACTTAATGGAAACAGCGCCTTGTTTTTTTGTCATTTGTAAAGCCTTCCCCAAACCATAGCCCTAACTCCACCCAAAGGAAAACTCCACCCAAAAACCATTAGTCCATTGTTGATATCGTCCCAAAATGATTTGCTTGTCAGCAATCATGTTTTCAAGATACAGTATGCAACTTTAAAAACACAGAAATCATCCCCGTATGATGCATTTTGCATCATTTTAAAGTTACATATCTTGAAAACTTGATTGTTGACAAGCAAAACATTTTGGGACGATATCAACAATGGACTAATGAAACAAATACCAAAAGACAGTTTTTGGGTGGAATTTTCCTTTAACCATTTAGAATTAATACCTACATTTAACCCTTTGAGTTGTTTCTGTTTTAACCTTGTAACCACACAGAATTAACCCTTTAAAACACATGGAATTAATCCATAATACGTTGAATTTTGAAGTGAAACTATGAGATCTTGTTGTTCACGGTGCTTGCATGTTACCTCTCTGTCTGGTAGACCTCCATATTGCTGTTGAGTTCCTCTAGCTCTTCCTTCAGTAGCTGCAGGTTAGAGTTGACAAAGCTCAGCTCTAGAGCCACATTCTCCTTTACCTTGTTGTTAGTGGTGGCCCTGCAACACAAACATTCATATCAGATTTGATTATACAAACAAACACACCAAACACACTCCTTCGATATAATGTTTTTGATGAAAATGTGTCAGTTTGTCACTTTCACAAGGTTGTAGTAACATGTTAAGCTACTTAAGATATTGGTTTGAATCTAGGCTTTGCCGAAAAATAAGAACTAAGGAAGAATTTTCACTTCTTCCATTGACTTCACAAATCCCAAACACCAGATCTGCCCTGTAGAGTCTGCTTTGCGAGGCGTTCCCGGGATTATTGGCCAGATGGAAATGTGGGTTAGAAAACGCTGTTATTTCGATCTTCAACAGTTTGTATGTACAGTAGGGGTAGGCCTAGCTCATAAGCACTTCCTGAGAAGGGCCTACTTCTACTTCTCTCGCTCTCTAACTCACACATTCGCCCACTTCCCTCTCACTTTCACTACACTCTGGACAAAGGGCAGCAGTGTGTTTGGTGACTAAAGCTTCCGGTACTGTGGATTATCAGATGTAAACAACCCTAAGATCTTAGAACATTCCTCAAACGCTGAGGCATCACTTAGTTGTCATGGTATCTGACAGACACTTCTCACCACGTCACAGAAATCCCCCTGGTTACACAATAATTGCGAGTTTCTGGAGCCCTGACGAGTCACACCCCACCCCCCCCCCACATAATGCATTTGTTTAAAACCAAATCGAAAACTGTGACTATTTTTCAAACATCGAACCGACGTCAAAAAGCCCTTATCGCTCAGCACACACCTGCGAGAAAGCCACTCCCTTTGCTAGAAGAGGATTAGGAATCAATGAGAGCCAGTCTTTCAACCACAACAACAGGAGACTTGCCCCGATTAGAAGACACACACATGGTGAAAGGTTACCTTAGTTTAACTAGGCATGTTGGCACCTGTCTGAGGCTGAATGGGGTTGAGAGAGACAGAGGTAACGCACAAATACACACCTTGAACCACCAAATCGGTGACCCATATCCTCCTCACCCCACTAGAAGACCCTTCCCACAGTATATAACACACTGGCCTGTTACACCAGCATGCCACCACAGAATGTGACGTCTTCATCAGCCAATCAGAAGCTCTAATGAGATACACCCCCTCCCCTCCTCTGTTCTCCCATCATCCTTTATTAGTCTCTGTCACTCTTACCCTCCTCCCCCTAGCTCCTACCACCACAAACTAGTTCACTGACAACAACTCATCGTGTGTGTGTGTGTGTGTGTGTGTGTGTGCGTGTACACATGACCGACTGGCTTTCAACCAGAGTGTCCTGCATGATGCCAAATAACTAGGTTAGCCCACTGGAATGAACTGCAAAAATCTCTGAAGCTGGAGACTCTTATCTCCCTCACTAACTTTAAGCATCAGTTGTCAGAGCACCTTACCGATCACTGCACCTGTACACAGCCCATCTGAAATTAGCCCACCCAACTACCTCATCCCTATATTGTTATTTATTTTGCTCATTTGCACCCCAGTATCTCTATTTGCACATCATCTCTTGCACATCTATCATTCCAGTGTTAATACTAATTGTAATTATTTTGCACTATGGCCTATTTATTGCCTTACCTCCATAACTTGCTACATTTGCACACACTGTATATATATTTTGTGTATTTTTTGACTTTATGTTTTGTTTTACCCTATATGTAACTCTGTGTTGTTGTTTTTAATCGCACTGCTTTGCTTTATCTTGGCCAGGTCGCAGTTATAAATGAGAACTTGTTCTCAACTGGCTTACCTGGTTAAATAAAGGTTAAATAAAAATAAAAAATAAAAAACGGAACTAAAGCCTTAACTCACGATCGGTGATAATGCAAGTCTTCAGGTCTCAGGCAAGGTTAGGCTACTAATCACGAGAAGATGGTTCACTGAACTACTTCCGTTACACATGTGGGCGTGCAAGTCCAAAGACAGCTCCACTGGGACTGGTGAGGATAAACATGTCTCCCAATGAAACCCAGAAAATCAGGGATGAGATTCCTGCAGACAGCTGCCCTCCCTGGGAAAATCTCTCTCTCTGCATGGGAATGGGAAGGTGCAGCAGTGGGACGAAGCCTGTTGATTGGGGGCTGACTGGGGGTGCCGGGGGGCTCGGTCTCTGTGATCCAGTCTCAATAGAGGGGAGGGAGGGGGAAGGACTGGGTGCTGCTGGGGGCCTAAATATTTTGCTTATTCTATATTTCCCTTATCCTAGCTTTTCTCAAAACCTAAAAAACAAGTGAGGGGAGGGAGGGTTGACACACACACACACACACGGGGTTGGTTTTCTTTCAGTTAGCTTGATGTTGTTCTGGGTGTCTTTCTTATGACAGCCTGACTCAGAAGCCAAACAGCCCACTATATAAAAAGGAAGCACACTGCTCTGCTTTAATTCAGTGCTACGTCTCCTCCTCCCCCATCTCAGAGAGAGAGATAGAGCCTGTCCTATCGTACCATAGCGCTACTCTTCTACACAACCACTCCAATACACCATGTCCTTTAGTGGCTCCCACAGTAACACTGTACATATATAAGCGTGGGATGAATTTGATGAACTGTTTGAAAGTTGAAAACGAATAAAAGGGAGAGAGGATGACACTAATGCTCTGAGAGAGGTTGGTTTGATGTGCTAGAAACCCTAGCTCAGCTTTGATGTCCTGCCACCAGCCTCTTCATTCCTCCTTTCTCTGAAAAAAAATCCTATTGACTTTAAAGGAGACAGAATGAGAACAGGCTGTACTATCTCTGTACAAGTTCAGCACAGATCAGAGAGAGCGTGTTTGTGTTTGATAAGACCGTCTAACTGGCAAATTATACTTTAAAACTGGTGGGGGGGGGGGGAATGAACGGAATCAAACCTGCCGATTGACCCCACACACGGGAAACAAACAGAGCCATAAAACAGGGTGGTGTGTGTTTGGAGGCATTCCCCATACACCCTAAAACATAGTTTGGTAGATCCATCTGCTAAGCTCAATGTTTCCACAGGTAGTAGGGCTCTGGGTTCCTTTTTCCACCACAGCGGAGGGGAGGAAGTGGATGCGCCCCAAAGCTGCCCAGGAGGACAGTGTACACACAGGATCAGGGACAGTATTCGACCACTGTCACGTCCTTCACCCAGCCCAGCTCACCTGAAGAGGTTTTCAGCCCCGGCCCTCATCCTCATCTCCTTGTTGATCTGCTGGTTGATACGAGCTCTACGGTGCTGCAGCTTACTGCGCTGGGTCTGGGAACACGGATCACAACCCTAGAGAGAGAGGGGGGGGGGGGGGGTTTGGAAGAGAGATTGTGGTTAATGCATAACGTGCTAAAGCACAACAGATGTCTGTCTATCTCTGCTTGCTTGTGTCTAGGCCCTATGTGTAGTTCTAGTTGACATGCATTTGTGTAGAAATGTATAACAAGCATGTAATAAACACCAAGTGTACGTAAAGAAGAGAGTATTCCTAGCCGAACAGGTAGGGGTTGGTGGATTGTTCAGTGAATTACATTACAAAGCCCTGTAATAGAGTATTCCTAGCCGAACAGGTAGGGGTTGGTGGATTGTTCAGTGAATTACATTACAAAGCCCTGTAATAGAGTATTCCTAGCCGAACAGGTAGGGGTTGGTGGACTGTTCAGTGAATTACATTACAAAGCCCTGTAATAGAGAGTATTCCTAGCCGAACAGGTAGGGGTTGGTGGACTGTTCAGTGGATTACATTACAAAGCCCTGTAATAGATACACCTGAGCACCTCGTTAGTTCCCCTCCCTGATTAAGTATGAGTGATTAACCGTTCACACTCTTGTACGGGTTGAAAATTGCAGATTTGGACACTGGTACGCGCTTCAATTGGAATGCAATGGCTGTACAGTAACACGCGATACATGACGTTAGAGCTCAGGGTCTCCTCTTCACAGTGGTGTATGGGTTTTGACTGACAGCTGTTCTGAACAAGAAGTTTCCCCCATCCCTCCCGCTAGTTGGTCAACTTTTGTTGTCCGAGTGAGGGAAATGGTGTAAACTACGAGGAGTCAATGCATTTTGAAAGATGAGACGTTGAGGATTATAATAAATACCGCTTTGATGTCATACAAGCAAGCCAAACACCCGTGAGTCCAAATGTGCACTTCCCATTTCCATATGATAGAACTAATGTAATATACAGTGTCAACGTTTATGATCACTATGTTTGATGTACAGTTCCAAGATTATATGGGTTGTCCTGAACAGAATGAGCCTGTGTTCTGTTGTATTGTGAAGAAAATCTGCCGCGGACCACGCATCTGAATGCACTCATGACTCCATTCTATGCACACCAAAATTACAATCTGCTTCTCTGAATTGCCTTGTGAAAGCCTAACACTAAGGTCGTATATTATAATTTGTATATTATAATTTAGCTAGTCATGTTGGCAATAGAACAAGCTTTCAAATTATGCCCACCTGAGCCAGATTGCGATTTATAATGGACCGTTTTTGGATTGCGTAAACAGTAATTGTGTAAAGGTGGGTATGCAGGGCTGTGTTCCAAACACAACAACTACAAGTGTACTTGCTCTAGTTTCTCAACAGCACAGCTAGGAGAGTTCAAAAAGCACCTTATAGTTGAAAACTTCTTTGAGTCATAAAAGTGCATTGAAATTACTTAGGAACTGTGCACACTTTGGAGAGGTGTGTGGCCACTTGGAAACACCAGTTAGACCTCTCACCCCAAAATTTCCAGGAATATTCTTGTATCCTGAGTATTTTCAGATTTCTTCAACAAATGCAGCAAAAAGTACAGTAAATGTAAAATGCACATAAAAATCAACAGTGTAATGTTTTGAACTGTGTTAGGTGAACTGTTGTGTCCTCACCTTTAGTCTAATAATGTTCCCATAATCTCCAAACTGTTCCCTTTTAATTGCTACCATGGTTATGCATGTGCTTTCCATATTCCTTGTGTTTGAAACATTTCAATTTGGCCCTATCCATATAGGCCAATTCACACGTGTAAGGGGTTAAGACTACCCGCCTCCATCATAGTTAGGATCAGATAGCCTACTACATTGGCAACAGGATCCCCGTGGCGATAGTTGCCAGGAGACCAAGCCCCAGTAGACCTCGGTCGGTAACCTGCTGTGAGGTAAATCCTTAGACGTCACAGTCCACGGAGCGGAGGAGACTTGGAATACCTCTTACACCTGACCCCTGCCTACGATACAAATACAGCCACCAAAAGTTACCAGTGCTCTTTTCTCCAATACTGTAACTTCATCCCGCACCACCACGTCTGTAAGTAGCTAAGATGGGCTCTGAGATCTCAACTTAGAAGACATATCAGGCTGGGAAGAGGGGGTGAGCAATCGCCACTTGCTGCTAGGAGAACAGAGCCTAGATCAGGACTGTACTAGTGTCTGATGATGATGCTGATGCACCATATTACTAATAGAGCTCAACCCAGGGACATCTGCAATTGCTACAGGGCCACCTTTTACAGACACCTGACTCCACTGTAGTCTTCCTTTAGTCTGCTGATAAAGGACAACACATGTACATGTCTTGCCAACATGTAGGCCTACAATCGTCAGGAAATGAACAGAAAATGACAGTTGATGTTCTGTGGTCAGATGCAGATGAATGGTTAAAAGCAGCACTTGGTGGTCCTATCGCATGGTGTGTTTTGTCCTAAAACCTGCTGACTAGGCTCTTATTCATTCAGTACAGAGGAACAAGGAAGAGAAGGACCACAACATGGTAGGAAGGGCCCTAATAGGGTATGCTAACCCCAAAATGAGAGTTGAAAAGAGATACTGTCCTTATTCCTTTCCCTCTCCCCCTCACCTTATCTCACTCTCTCCATACTCCCTCCATTTCCTTCCCTCTCCCACCTCCCTTCATCCCTCGCTCAGTGAGTTGTTTGTTTTGTGAGCATGCAGCCAGTAATCCTCAGAGTGCTTGTAGGGATTAGGGTGCTAGCCTAGCCATGCTCCAGCCCCCGGCCTTCAGTCCCCTGCTCCAGCCTCCCAGCTCAGCCATAGCCGTGCTCCAGCCCCAGCCCCAGGCCTCCAGCCCACTGTCCCAGCTCAGCCATAGCCGTGCTCCAGTCCCCTGCTCCAGCCTCCCAGCTCAGCCATAGCTGTGCTCCAGCCACAGGCCTCCAGCCCACTGCCCCAGTTCAGCCATAGCCTTGCTCCAGCCCCAGCCCTCCAGCCGGGGGACAGCGGGGGGTGAAATGGGGTAAATAGGCTCTCCTAGCCACATACCATCAGTACCATGACACCTACCCTCTGGACAGTATCCTACCCCAATCTACCCCCCATGCCGCAATAGCAGACCCCCTACCGAAGTCACCAAAAGTTTACCAACATAAGGCAACTCAATACAGGTCAAGGATACCCCCTCAATGAATCTATCAACAGTTCAGTAATGACACTGCATGGCAATGCATGTCAATAATAAATAACTTTGAATAGTACATATTTGATCTGGTATTGATTGAAATATTATTGTACTGTTCATAGCAGATGCAGTCAATTTTCCATTTGGACGTGTCATACATATAAAGGTGTGTGTACTGTTGGTACAGTACCGTGTTTTTCGAACTACAACTGCGTATCTCTCACCTTTCTGATACTGCCGTTGTGACTCCCCTCCTCTATCCGTGCGGGAAGCTCCAACTCCTCGTCCGAGCCAGCGTCAGACAGCTCTGGCTCTCTACAACAGAATGTCCCAAGGCCGTTAATTTCTACAAAATAAAACCAACACTTTTCCTCCCGTTCTACTCTAGCCAACCCTACCAGTTATTGTCACGGTATTTCTTTAGCAAGCAGACAGTGTTTGAGTGTTAGATTTTGTCTATGGTTTGAACAATATCAAAACAAGTGAACTGGGAATGAATAGATGAGCTCGTTCTGGCTAGCGGTTTTTGTTAGTAGCATAGCATTGTCCCACAACTAGACAACAGTACACTTGCCTCGTCGCAGGTTCTTCTCCCATCATCAAGCCAGGAAGCTATGCAACTTGTTGCACCAATACTTTCGTAATTCCAAATGTCCGCAGGCCAGGGTCTGTTGCGGTGGATGGGTAGCGAGAAAATCAACATAGAAAAGACCCAGAACAAAACAATCACTGTCTTATTTTGCAACTCGCATTCGTGCACCCCTCTCGCTCACAAACCAGCTGAAAAAAACTCGTGGTGTGGGTTTATTCCAGGAGGCGTGTCTTTAACTGCAAAATAACCAATGACATATCACTTCCATTGATTGACGTTGATTTTGACGAATCGAAATATGATGTTTCTCTAACTGACAAGTAAATCTGTCCAATTGTGAACCCCATGGGCGATGGCAAATTTGTGGAATTACAGTTGCCCATAGCAACGGTTTCAACTATAACCTGTTAAATGTAACTAAATGTAATCTAAAAATATAATCTACATAATCCCAAAAGTAATTATTTATCATGGCCTTAAACAATAACTAGTAACGCTGCATACTACAAGAAAGGTTAAATTCTCACCTTTCTGTTAAAAATAGCTATACTAATAACTCTCAGACCATGAGAAACAAGATTCTCTGGTCTGATGAAACCAAGATTGAACTCTTTGGCCTGAATGCCAAGCGTCACGTCTGGAGGAAACCTGGCACCATCCCTACGGTGAAGCATGGTGGTGGCAGCATCATGCTGTGGGGATGTTTTTCAGCGACAGGGACTGGGAAACTAGTCAGGATTGAGGCAAAGCCATAAGACTCCTGAACAGCTAATCAAATGGCTACCCAGACTATTTGCATTGTTTGATTTGATTTGGTTTGAAAGATGAACAGTGAGATCCTTGATGAAAACCTGCTCCAGAGCGCTCAGGACCTCAGACTGGGGCGAAGGTTCACCTTCCAACAGGACAACGGCCCTAATCACACAGCCAAGACAACGCAGGAGTGGCTTCGGGACAAGTCTCTGAATGAGTGGAGGACAGAGCGGCCCAGCCAGAGCCCGGACTTGAACCCGATCGAACATCTCTGGAGAGACCTGAAAATAGCTGTGCAGCAACGCTCCCCCTCCAACTTGCCGGAGCTTGAGAGGATCTGCAGAGAAGAATGGGAGAAACTCCCCAAATACAGCTTGGTACACAAAGTACTGAGTATAGTCCCCTGTAGCTCAGTTAGTAGAGCATGGCGCTTGCAACGCCAGGGTTGTGGGTTCGTTTCCCACGGGGGGCCAGTATGAAAATGTATGCACTCACTAACTGTAAGTCGCTCTGGATAAGAGCGTCTGCTAAATGACTAAAATGTAAATGTACATTGATGAGGTGTAGTCACTTTTGAGGACACAAACTCAAGTACACAGTACAAATATGATAAAAACATGAAAATACTAGTACTAAGATAACATAATGGAATTGTTTTAAAATGGTCATACCATGGATCATTTAGCTAATTGATTTGGCATTTTAGGTATTTTAGCTAAAAAATGATTAGATAAAATATTGAATTTGGCCTTTACTACTTTAGCCCATAGAAACGCATTGAATAACACATTTATAAATGGCAAAAAATACAGTTAAAATTTTTTATAATTAGGAATAAGGTTTTGAACTGTCTTTCCTATATCTAGGAGATATATATATTTAACCCCTTATTTTTGTTGCCACAAAACTACCTCCATACTTCCATTCGTTTGTATGGGTTACCTTCAGACGAGTCCAGTGACACTTGTGGGGGTCATAGAGCTAACCGTTTTCGTGAGAAGACCAATTTTCGGGATGTCTCATGGTCTGACAAACACAGATGTAGCTCAGCCACCATAGATTGGTGCGTCAATAGACTCTTAAGAATGAAAATCGATGAATTATTTTAGATTAATGGCTATAAATCGATCTCTGAATGTGCTACAGTGATGGAACTACTCTATCCTGCTGCGCTACAATGTAAGGATTGCAGGCATGTCAATGGCTGTGACGTACGGTTCACGGACATCCCAACTTCAAGTGGTTTCAGAATTCACATCCTACATTACACAGGCTCAGAAAATATACTACTGTTTCTGTGGGAACCTGGGCTATCGCTCAATGCAAGCCATTTCGATCTACGGTGTCCACAGATCAATTTATAAACGAAAATGTCGGTTGGAACCGGTACCAGAACCACGCAGGTCCTCTAAACAGGGGACTTTACATCTATATAACACAGCCACAAAGTCAAAATTGGCTATATCATACAAATGTAAGGTTAGGGTTAGGCATAAGATTAGCAGTGTGGTTAAGGTCAGGGTTAACATAGGGGTTAAGTTTAAAATCAAATTTTAAGAAGTTAAATTATAGAAATATAGGCACGGTTTATGACATTGTCGCTGTGTTAACTAGTGACAGCTCACCCAGGGCTTTCATTTCGATGCCTAGGTCTAGGCGTTGCTGTGGGTTATCACTAGTTAACACAGACACAGAGTCAAAATTGGCTATTATCATAAAAATTCATAAAAACAAAAATGTGCTTAAAAAAAAATAGGCAGGGTTTTGCCATAATTATGACTTTGTGGCTGTGGTAACTAGTGATGACCACTTGGTTGGGAAGCACGCTCATGATGATAGAATGCACAGAATGGAACCAGCAGAATCCAAATCCATCGGATGTAGTGATCACAATATAGTAGCCATATATAGGAAAACCAGAGTTCCAAAGGCTGGGCCTAATATAGTGTATAAGAGGTCATACAATAAGTTTTGTAGTGATTCCTATGTTGTTGATGTAAATAATTTTTGTTGGTCTGTTGTGTGTAATGAGGAGCAACCAGACGCTGCACTTGACATTTATGAAATTGCTTATTCTAGTTACTAATAAGCATGCACCCATTAAGAAAATTACTGTAAAAACGGTTAAATAGGTTGATGAGGAATGGAATAATTGTATGGTTGAGAGGGATGAGGCAAAAGGCAAAGCGAATAAGTCTGTCTGCACAACTGATTGGCAAACATACTGCAAATTGCAAAATCATGTGACTAAACTGAATAAAAAGAAGAAGAAACTATACTATGAAACAAAGAATGATAGTAAAAATGTTGAGCAAAAAGGCAAACTCAGCTCCACCATTCATTGAATCAGATGGCTCATTCATCACAAAACCCACTGATATTGCCAATTACTTTAATGATTTTTTCATTGGTATGATTAGCAAACTTATGCATGACATGCCAGCAACAAACGCTGACACTACACATCCAAGTATAACTGATAAAATTATGAAAGACAAGCATTGTCATTTTGAATTCCGTAAAGTGTGTGTGGAAGAAGTGAAAAAAGTATTGTTGTCTATCAACAATGACAAGCCACCGGGGTCTGACAACTTGGATGGAAAATGACTGAGGATAATAGGGGACGATATTGTCACTCCTATTTGCCATAACTTCATTCTATGCCTACTAAAAGGTGTGTGCCCTCAGGCCTGGAGCGAAGCAAAAGTAATTACGCTACCCAAGAATAGTAAAGCCCCCTTTACTGGCTCAAATAGCCGACCAATCAGCCTGTTACCAACCCTTAGCAAACTTTTGGAAAAAATAGTGTTTGACCAGATACAATGCTATTTTACTGTAAACAAATTGACAACAGACTTTCAGCACGCTTATAAGGAAGAACATTCAACAAGCACGGCACTTACACAAATGACTGATGATTGGCTGAGAGAAATTGATGATAAAAAGATTGTGGAAGCTGTTTTGTTAGACTTCAGTGTGGCTTTTGACATTATTGATCATAGTCTGCTGATGTAAAAATGTATGTGTTATGGGTTTACATCCCCTGCTATATTGTGGATAAAGAGTTACCTGTCTAACAGAACACAGAGGGTTTTCTTTAATGGAAGCCTCTCCAACATAATCCAGGTAGAATCAGGAATTCCCCAGGGCAGCTGTCTAGGCCCCTTACTTTTTACAATCTTTACTAATTACATGCCACTGACCTTGAGTAAAGCCAGTGTGTCTATGTATGCGGTTGACTAAACACTATACACGTCAGCTACTACAGCGAGTGAAATCACTGCAACACTTAACATAGAGCTGCAGTTAATTTCAGAATGGGTGGCAAGGAAAAAGTTAGTCCTAAATATTTCAAAAACTTAAAGCATTGTATTTGGGGCAAATCATTCACTAAACCCTAAACCTCAACTAAATCTAAACTGCTTGGAGTAACCCTGGATTGTAAACTGTCATGGTCGAAACATGTTGATACAACAGTAGCTAAGATGGGGAAAAGTCTGTCCATAATAAAGCGCAGCTCTGCCTTTTTAACAACACTATCAACAAGGCAGGTCCTACAGGCACTAGTTTTGTTGCACCTGGACTACTGTTCAGTCATGTGGTCAGGTACCACAAAGAGGGACCTAGGAAAATTACAATTTTAAATGTACACGGAGAGCTAACATTAATAATATGCATGTAAATCTCTTATGGCTCAAAGTGGAGGAGAGATTGACTTCATCACGACTTGTTTTTGTGTTGACATGCTGAATGCACGAGGTGTCTGTTTAAACTACTAGCACACAGCTCGGACACCCATGCATACCCCATAAGACATGCCATCAATGGTCTCTTCACAATCCCCAAATCAAGAACAGACTATGGGAAGCGCACAGTACTACATAGAGCCATGGCTACATGGAACTCTATTCCACATCAGGTAACTGATGCAGTCGAATCAGATTTTAAAACCAGATAAAAATACACCATTTAGCAGACGCTTTTATCCAAAGCGACTTACAGTCATATAGCAGACACTCTTATCCAGAGCGACTGACAGTTAGTGAGTGCATATATTTTTCATACTGGCCCCCCGTGGGAAACGAACCCACAACCCTGGCGTTGCAAGCGTCATGCTCTACCAACTGAGCTACCGGGGACTACACATGATAAGACACGCACGCTACACACACGTACACATGGATGTTGTATTGTAGATATGTGGTAGTAGAGTAGTGGCCTGAGGGAACACACAACATGTATTGGGTAAAGTGTTATGAAATGTAATGTCATGTAATATTTTAAATTGTATATAACTACCTTAATGTTGCTGGACCCCAGGAAGAGTAGCTGCTGCCTTGGCATAAATACAAATGTAAAATACAAATATCACGAGGGGGGTGCAAGAATGACATGGATACGTTATTGATCATCTAGGGACCTAAACTCACAATCTTGAAAACATGAAAAATATATAGTCTATATCAAACAATGATATTTTTTACAACAACAAAATGTAGTTTACACTGTAGGGATGCATGGGCCTTGTTTTTTTGGGGTGAGCCTAGATTGGTATAATAATAATAATAATAATAATAATAATAATAATAATAATCAAGCATGGATGAAGGAGAGTCATGGTTTTTACAGCTAATACAAATCACTAAAGTAATTAATCATTTCAAGCATACTAGGCCTAACCAACCAAATAAATACCCAAACATCTATCTTCAACCAATCCAAAAAATCTCCAAGGCTCCGTCCATCCTGCACACCTAAAACAGGTTTTAAAAGTTATAATAAGACATTTGAAGAAAAAATACAGCACATTTTGAGTAGGTACCTGAAACTGCTTTATTTTAAATGGAAACTTACACATGATTTGAATAACAGAGTAATAATACTGGACAGTCAGCATTTAGATACAGAGAGATATTGGCGAGTTTCACATAGAAGCCCCTACACGGTGCATTGTAGTTAGCCTGAACAGCCACCAGTGGACGCTGTTTCACCTGTTCAAACTACAATGTAGAGTAGGGGGAGGAAGAGAAGGAAATGGGGACATTTATTTAAAGGGTATTTCAGTTAGGTACACAAAATCAAATTTTTACAGCTATAGAGTAAGCTACAATATCTTCAGCCTGCTCTGAAGTCTATTATCATATATATCTATATGTTCTTTCATTTTTTAAAACAGGTTCTGACAGTATACCTGTGCGACAAATAAAACAGGTACAAACAATGAAGAATTAGTAGATAAAAAAACTGATGGAGATGGACAGGAGGGGGAAAAGAGGAAAGAACAGCGTCCCAAATGACATCCTATTCCCTATAGTGCTCTACTTTTGAAAGACAGTACACTGTGAAGGTAATAAGGTACCAATAGGGACGCAGACAGATTGAAGCCTTGCATTGGTAGCAGTCCCCCCCAAACAACAGATCAGAAGTCAGATTTATCAGCTCCCTTTGATTAGAAATGCCAGCAAAACCTAACCCCAGATCTGTGGTTAAAGGAAAAATCCACGCAAAAACTATCATTAGTCCACTTTTGATATTAAGGAATGAATATGGTCCACACACACCAACACAGTTGTGAAGAGGGCACGACAGCGTCTCTTCCCCCTCAGGAAGCTGAAAAGATTTGGCATGGGCCCTCAGATACTTAAAAAGTTCTACAGCTGCACCATTGAGAGCATATTGACTGGCTGCATCACCGCTTGGTACGGCAACTGCAAGGCACCCCACCGCAAGGCGCTACAGAGGGTGGTGAGTACAGCACAGTACATCTCTGGGGCTGAGCTCCCGGTCATCCAGGTCCTCTTTACCAGGCAGGGTCAGAGGAAGGCCCCAAAAATTGTCAAAGACTCCAGCCACCCAAGCCATAGACTACCGCAGGGCTAGCGGTACCAGTGCACCAAGTCTGGCAACAACAGGACCCTGAACAGCTTCTACCTCGAAGCCATAAGGTTGCTAATCAAGATTGTTAAATAGCTAATCAAATGGCTACCCGGACTACCTCCATTGACCCTTTTTTGCACTGACTCTCTTACACTGACAATCACACATACTTACACCGACACCCCAACACACACATACACACCCCAACACACATATACTTTTTTTCAACTAACTCTCTTGCACTGACACTCACACATACTTACACCGACACCCCAACACACACATACACACCCCAACACACATATACACACCCCAACACACACATATACTTTTTTTCAACTAACTCTCCTGCACTGACTCTATGCACACACACTGGACTCTACCCACATACTCACACCATAGGTTGGTGGCACCTTAATTGGGGAGGACGGGCTCGTGGTAATGGCTGGAGCGGAATTAGTGGAATGTTTGATGCCATTCCATTTGCGCCGTTACAGCTATTATTATGAGCAGTCCTCCCTTCAGCAGCCTCCACTGACTCACAAATACTTACACTGACACCCCAACACACACAAACAAGTATTTCTGTCTGTAATAAAGCCCTTTTGTGGGGAAAAACTCATTCTGATTGGCTGGGCTTGGCTCCCCAGTGGGTGGGCCTTCGATCTCCCGGGCTCACCCATGGCTGCACCCCTGCCCAGTCATGTGAAATCCATAGATTAGGGCCTAATTCATTTATTTCAATTGACGGATTTCCTTATATGAACTGTAACTCAGTAAAATCTTTGAAATTGTTGCATGTTGCTTTTATTTTTTTTTCAGTATAGTTTTTGAGTGGATTTTTCCTTTAAGAACAACTTGGTGGGTAGGATCTGTAAATGTGACAAGTTGCAGTAAGGTAAAAGAGGTTTATTAGTAGTTCCTCGCAGTTATAGATAGCCCTTGTTTGCCATGGTTGCATCCCAAATGGCACCCTATTCCCTAGCACTACTTTTGATTAGGCTATGGTCAAAAGGTGTGCACTATATAGAGAATAGGGTGCCATTTGGGACCCACCCCATGTTTCTCTGATCCAATCAGCATAGCCAGGTAAACACATACCTGAAGCACACATATAGGTCCAAGACAGACAGAGTCCTGTTGTGAGAGATCACTTATCTTTCTGGTACTCTCTCTCTCTCTCTCTCCCCCCTCTCTCTCTCCCCTGCTCTGCTTCTCCTCTTGCTCCTTAAAAGGTAGTATATTATATTATAGTATATTATAGTGTATTATAGTATACTGAAAAGCCCTTTAAGTAATACATGACAATATGATATGCAGTGTTAGTAAGTCTCTATTGAACACAGTAATAAAAGTCCTGTTTGTGCTCTCCCAGGTAAAAGAAGAGGGGTCTATTTTTGGAAACAATACCAAATCCCCACCACTAGAGGGCATTAGACTCCAGTCCCTGCTGTTAGTCAGTCTGCTGCCCCAGGAGAGGAGAAGTAGACTTTAGTCTTTGATGAATAGACTTGGTCCTGTTCCCATTTAAAAGCCCTTTAAAAGCCAGTCCATGAGTAGTGGTTCCCATTTTCTCTCTTTAGCCTTTTTGTGCCATGGCCAAAATAGTAGATTCTCGCTCCCATAGCTCCTCTGTGGCCAATAAAATAATATTATTCCAGTTTTCAGTTGTGAGACCAGTTCTAGCATGGAGAGATTTTGAGTCAGGGTTAGACCTATACTAACGGTTGACTCTCTGACACACTACCTTACTCTCTTAGAAGAGGCTATGGGCGCATCCCAAATGGCACCCTATTCCCTATTTGGTGCACTGCTTTTGACCAGAGCCCTATGGTGAATAGGGTGCCAATTGGGATGCACGATATGTATCTCATATCAAGGCACAACAAACAGATTCTTGTTATTCCCTTTATGCTTCCTGTGCTCCTACTCTGGGCATGGCCCAAATGGCACTTTATTCCCTATATACAGTAGTGCACTACTTTTGACCACACCCCTATGGGCACTGGTCAAAAGTAGTGCACTATATAGGGAATAGGGTGCCATTTGGGAGACAACCTCTGTGTATTTCCCTTATAGATCAGAGCACCGCTATTCTCAGTTCAGTCCAGTTGCTTTATCTGACATCACTGTTCAGAACAACACTGAATTATTTTATAACCCTTTTTTTTTTTTTTTTACAAAAAGTCCTTAACTGTTTTCTCATTCAAGGTTAGACTTCTAAATGTTTTTGTTCCATGAGATGACATGATTTGAGTGTTGCTTTTTGTCTCTTTTTATCCACCACACTGTGCATCTTTGTGTAGCTTATAGCACGGTTAATCCAGTTATTGGTAGATTGAATAGTCTTTCCATGGGTGTAAGATCATCATGTGCAGCAATGGAGGGGAACTGGTTGGTTGGGGGTCCTGTACTGTCCAGTCCAAAGATTTTTATAACTAACTCAAGACTGGTCAGATGGGCATTTTAGTTGCGCTTAGCCCCCACCTGCTGCCTCAGCTTCTCCCTCTTCTTCTTCTCAATCAGCCTGGAGAGGGGAGGCAGAGACGGAGGAGTTACAGAGAGAGGGTCTGTGTGTGTGTGTGTGTGTGTGTGTGTGTGTGTTATTACCTGTGGTTGCGTGTCTCCACTAGCTCACTGAGCTGATCTTGTGCTGCTCTCAGCTCCTCCAGACTCTGCTGGTAGCTGTGGTCACCTCCTGACCCCGCTCTCTCCAGAACTGACACCTGATTGGACAGCTCACTGGTGCGGTCTCTCAGCCTTTGGATGGACGAGTACAGGTTCTCATCATCTTCCTCCTGTTAATCACCCAATCAGAACACAGAGTGGTGGGGTGATGCTGTTAGAACTGTTAGAACACTAAGGCACGGATGTTGTTCCAAATGGCACCCTACCCCCTATATCCCTCAAACTCAACTCTGGACCTCAAAGCCAGTTACACTCCTTTTTTAATTGTTCTCCTCTAATCAGGGACTGATTTAGACCTGGGACATCAGATGGGTGCCATTCATTATCAGGTAGAAGAGAAAACCAGCAGGCTCCGGACCTCGTCGGGTAAGAGTTCAATACTCCTGCCCTATATAATGCACTACTTTTGACCAGAGCCCCATGGGACCTGGTCAAAAGTAGTGCACTACATAGGAAGTAGGGTTCCTTTTGGGACACAGACAGTATGATAATATAATAATATATGCACGTTGAATGTGTTAGGGCACCACCTTGGCGTTGACAATCTCAATGTGAACCAGCAGAGAAGCCAGCTCCAACTCTTCACTGTAACTGTTCTTTAGTGGAACACTCCTGTAGCCTGACAAGTCAACACACACACACACACACACACACAAACACACACACACACACACAGAGAGAGAGAGCGAGACAGTTAATCTACTATAGTAGTATGATATATTTTGATCTACTATGATATATCTACACACACTTCCCGAAAACACACACACACGCACACACCAACCTGTTCTTAGTGAGCGGACAGGGTAGATGGCCTGAGCCAGGAAGTTGGGGTCAGAGAACATGTCCTCCTCATAGACCAAGAAGCGCAGAAAGGAGAAGGACGGGTTATGGACGTCAAACACAAACTGCCTCTGAACCCACACTGGGTTCAACCCATTGTCAGCTGGAGGGGGGGGGGGATAAATCAATGTTTTATTTTGATGTTCAGTAAGCAGGAGCCCTACATTTAAACATTTGGAATAAACCCGATGTCACCTGGTCAGCCCATTACAACCAGAGACAGAGGCAATGTCCCAAATGGCGCCCAATTCCCTTTAAAGCCAGGGCCTTCGTCAAAAGTAGTGCACTATATACGGAATAGGGTGCCATTTGGTACACGGCCAGAGTCAGGTTTCATGCCGTCAGAGCAGGGTGCTGTGTGATTGGTGTGCAATGTCTCACCCACAACGTCGGTCTTGCTCTTGCTGCAGTCGTAGTCGGCCCCACACACCTCAACCTCTACAAAGGGACACACTATACTGCGGCCATTCTTAGGGAGGTGACGAGCTCCCAGTACCTGACACAGACAGACAGACAGAGAGAAAGGGAGTGAGAGAGAGAGAGTGTGAGAGAGAGTGAGAGTATGTCTGTGTGTGTGTGTTTGTTTGTTTGTTTGTTTGTGTGTGTGTGTGTGTGTGTGTGTGTGTGTGTGTGTGTGTTTGTGTTTGTGTTTGTGTGTGTTCTTGATGTTCTAGTAGTGCTCACAAGAGCGTAAATAAATAAAGCAGGTAAATTAAAAGACAGGGAAGAATGGAATGTCTCCTGATTGGTTGTCTGACCTGTATTCGGATGGTGATTGGCTCCAACCTACCTGTAGCTGGATGGTGATTGGCTCCAGGCGGAGGGTGTCCTTGTCGAAGGGGTCAAAGGTGTCATCCCTCATGATGTCAGGCTGGGGCACGAAGCCACTCCCCCCACCCAGCATGAACAGAGCCTGGTTCAACTGCATGGGCTTGTCTACACACACACACACACACACACACACACACACACACACACACACACACACACACACACACACACACACACACACACACATACATACACATACAAATAATAAATACTTATGCACACCACAAACACAGAGCTCCTGCATGGGCTTGGAAAAGAGTTAGAGTCAGAAACACAAGCACACACATACACACACACACACACCGACACAAAATCTCCCTCACCAGGTGTCTGGAAGTTGAGAGCGACCAGCTGGGATCCACAGAGCCACATGGGTAAAGGGTCGTAGTTAGAGGAGTCTAGTCTCTGTCCTCGGGGGTAGACCTGGAGCAGAACATACATTCCTTCATATATTATTATGGCCCTGTGTGGCTCAGTTGTTTGTGCATGGCACTTGCAACAACAGGGTTGTGGGTTCGACTCCCGCTGGGGCTAGCCATATGAAAATGTATGCACACGTCTTTATGTCGTTTTGGATAAAACCGTCTGCTAAATGGCTTATATACAGGTAACTGCCAAAATAAAGGAAACACCAACATGAAGTGTCTTAATAGGGTGTTGGGCCACCACGAGCCAGAACAACTTGCACCTTGGCATTGATTCTACAAATGTCTGGAACTCTATTGGAGGGATGCGAACCCATTATTCCACGAGAAATTCAATAATTTGGTGTTTTGGTGATGGTGGTAGAAAACGCTATCTCAGGCGCCGCTCCAGAATCTCCCATAAGTGTTCAATTGGGTTGAGATCCGTTGACCGAGACGGCCATGGCAAATGGTTTACATCGTTTTCATGTTCATCAAACCATTTAGTGACGACTCGTGCCCTGTAGGTGGGGGCATTGTCATCCTATTGGGGCATAGCCATGATAACCAAAATAATGGCCTGCCCAGCATTTTTATACATGACCCTAAGCATGATGGGATGTTAATTGCTTAATTAACTCAGGAACCACACCTGTGGAAGCACCTGCTTTCAATATACTTTGTATCCCTCATTTCCGCAATTGTTTCCATTATTTTGGCAGTTACCTGTATATTATAATATATATTATTACATTATTATAATATTATAATATAATATTATATTACCCGGGAGAGCTGGCGGCGGTTATACTGCAGGAAGCGTTTCCCTCTTGCAAGCGTGGCAAACTTCTCTGCCTTGGTCTCAGGGAATGATGACATATCCCGGAAACATGTCCGCTCTGTCCCGATCTCTGGAAGGGAGACATAACACGGTCACACACACACACACACACACACACACGGTCCATTTAGAGAGGTAGAAAGAGGATAGGTAGGTAGAGGAGTGTGTGAGTTCTTACTCTCTTCGTTGAAGGGGACAGGTCTACAGTAGACCACCAACTCAGAGAGCTCCAGAGCGATCTTCTTCCTCCTCTCCATCTGCTTCTCTTCCTGCATCTGTTACCATGGAGACCAGACCACACCAGCAGCATCAACACCAACACATCAGAGCTTCTTTCCTATTTATAGTGTACCTGCACTGTAGCAGGGGATATCTGACCGTACATTTCACACAAACTACAGTAGAGTACTACAGTTCTTCTCCAAGCTGCAATGAATGAGATGTAAAGTAGCTACTGATGCTCAGGAAAAGGTATGGATGATGTGTGTGGTGGGGTGCGAACCTGTATGTGTGTGTGTCTGTGTGTAATGCATTACTAACCTGTATGTGTGTGTGTCTGTGTGTAATGCATTACTAACCTGTTTGTGTGAGTGTAAGTGTGTGCGTCCATGTGGTGTGTGAGTGTTTTTGTGTGTGCATGCCTGTATGTGTACAGTATATCAGTGTTTCCGCTGCACTCATTTAAAAATCATTGCCACCATGCCCAAAAAATATGAAATATATATATATTTTTAAAAACAGTCCACATTTACTTTTCCTCTGCAAAGAAAACGAGTAATGAATAGAAAAATCTGACAACCCCATACTAGAATAGTTGATCTATTTACCTAGTCGGCTAGTTGTTGTGTGTTCTACGCAAGAGAAACATTCCTCTCGAAGCGCATTCAAGTTTCGAGTGCCATAGGGAGGGACAACTGCATTCTGACAAGCAGTCAATGCAAAACAATTCTTGCAATCACAGGGAAAACAGCAGTTTTAATGGCCTTTGTTAAATAGAGTGCACCATTTTAAACCCTGAGTTTTTAGCAGCTTCATGGTTAAGCACATTACCTCTCTGCAATTTACCATGAGTGCATATGGGAGAGTGGGGCTAAATACAACACCGGTAACTTGGGGTAAAACGTCACCCTACCTCAAAATAATTTTGTCATTAAGTGGTTTCTGTGAGAAGTACAGGGAGGGGGCGTGTTATCCCGCGTGGCGGGTTATCATGTAGTAACCAAAAAAGTGTTAAACAAATCGAAACCTATTTTATATTTGAGATTCTTCAAATAGCCACCCTTTGCTTTGATGACAGCTTTGCACACTCTTGGCATTCTCTCAACCAGCTTCACCTGGAATGCTTTTCCAACAGTCTTGAAGGAGTTCCCACATATGCTGAGCACTTGTTGGCTGCTTTTCCTTCACTCTGCGGTCCGACTCATCCCAAACCATTTCAATTGGGTTGAGGTTGGGGGATTGTGGAGGCCAGGTCATCTGATGCAGCACTCCATCACTCTCCTTCTTGGTAAAATAGCCCTTACACTGCCTGGAGGTGTGTTGGGTCATTGTCCTGTTGAAAAACAAATGATAGTCCCACTACGCCCAAACCAGATGGGATGGCGTATCGCTGCAGAATGCTGTGGTAGCCATACTGGTTAAGTGTACCTTGAATTCTAAACAAATCACAGACAGTGTCACCAGCAAAGCACCCCCACACCATAACACCTCCTCCTCCATGCTTTACGGTGGGAAATACACATGCGGAGATCATCCGTTCACCCACACCGCATCTCACAAAGACACGGCGTTGGAACCAAAAATCTCAAATTTAGACTCCAGACCAAAGGACACATTTCCACTGGTCTAATGTCCACTGCTTGTGTTTCTTGGCCCAAGCAAGTCTCTTCTTATTATTGGTGTCCTTTAGTAGTGGTTTCTTTGCAGCAATTCGACCATGAAGGCCTGATTCACACAGTCTCCTCTGAACAGTTGTTGAGATGTGTCTGTTACTTGAACTCTGTGAAGCATTTATTTGGGCTTCAATATCTGAGGCTGGTAACTCTAATGAACTTATCCTCTGCAGCAGAGGTAACTCTGGGTCTTCCATTCCTGAGGCGGTCCTCATGAGAGCCCATTTCATCATAGCGCTTGATGGTTTTTGCGACTGCACTTGAATAAACTTTAAAAGTTCTTGAAATGTTCTGTATTGACTGACCTTCATGTCTTAAAGTAATGATGGACTGTCGTTTCTCCTTGCTAATTTGAGCTGTTCTTGCCATAATATGGACTTGGTCTTTTACCAAATAGGGCTATCTTCTGTATACCCCCCCTACCTTGTCACAACACAACTGATTGGCTCAAACGCATTAAGAAGGAAAGAAATTCCACAAATTAACTTTTAACAAGGCACACCTGTTAATTGAAATGCATTCCAGGTGACTACCTCATGAAGCTGGTTGAGAGAATGCCAAGCGTGTGCAAAGCTGTCATCAAGGCAAAGGGTGGCTATTTGAAGAATCTTAATTTGTTGAGGTAATCTGAAGAGATTTCACCCCATGCTTCCTGAAGCACCTCCCACAAGTTGGATTAGCTTGATGGGCACTTCTTACGTACCATACGGTCAAGCTGCTCCCACAACAGCTCAATAGGGTTGAGATCCGGTGACTGTGCTGGCCACTCCATTATAGACAGAATACCAACTGACTGCTTCTTCACTAAATAGTTCTTGCATAGTTTGGAGCTGTGCTTTGGGTCATTGTTATGTTGTAGGAGGAAATTGGCTCCAATCAAGCGCCTTCCACAGGGTATGGCATGGTGGTGCAAAATGGAGTGATAGCCTTCCTTCTTCAATATCCCTTTTACCCTGTACAAATGTCCCACTTTACCACCACCAAAGCACCCCCAGACCATCACATTGCCTCCACCATGCTTGACAGATGGCATCAAGCACTCCTCCAGCATCTTTTCATTTGGTCTGCGTCTCACAAATGTTCTTCTTTGTGATCCGAACACCTCAAACTTCGATTCGTCTGTCCATAACACTTTTTTTCCAATCTTCCTCTGTCCAGTGTCTGTGTTCTTTTGCCCATCTTAATCTTTTCTTTTTATTGGCCAGTCTGAGATATGGCCTTTTCTTTGCAACTCTGCCTAGAAGGTCAGCATCCCGGAGTCGCCTCTTCACTGTTGACGTTGAGACTGGTGTTTTGTGGGTACTATTTCATGAAGCTGCCAGTTGAGGACCTATAAGGCGTCTGTTTCTCAAACTAGACACTAATGTATTTGTCCTCTTGCTCAGTTGTGCACCGGGGCCTCCCACTCCTCTTTCTATTCTGGTTAGAGCCAGTTTGCGCTGTTCTGTGAAGGGAGTAGTACACAGCATTGTACGAGATCTTCAGTTTCTTGACAATTTCTCGCATGGAATAGCCTTCATTTCTCAGAACAAGAATAGACTGACGAGTTTCAGAAGAAAGTTATTTGTTTCTGGCCATTTTGAGCCTGTAATCGAACCCACAATTGCTGATGCTCCAGATACTCAACTAGTCTCAAGAAGGCCAGTTGTATTGCTTGTTTAATCAGCACAACAGTTTTCAGCTGTGGTAACATAATTGCAAAAGGGTTTTCTAATGATCAATTAGCCTTTTAAAATGATAAACTTGGATTAGGAAACACAACGTGCCATTGGAACACAGGACTGATGGCTGCTGATATTGGGTCTCTGTTGTACGCCTATGTAGATATTCCATAGAAAATCAGCCGTTTCCAGCTACAATAGCCATTTACAACATTAACAATGTCTACACTGTATTTCTGATCAATTTGATGTTATTTTAATGGACAAAAAAATTGCTTTTCTTTAGAAAACAAGGACATTTCTAAGTGACCCCAAACTTTTGAATGGTACTGGATACAGTTGAAGTCAGAAGTTTACATACACTTAGGTTGGAGTCATTAAAACTAATTTTTCAAGCACTCCACAAATTTCTTTTTAACAAACTATCGTTTTGGCAAGTCGGTTAGGACATCTACTTTATGCATGACACAAGTCATTTTTCCAACAATTGTTTACAGACAGATTATTTCACTTATAATTCACTGTATCACAATTCCAGTGGGTCAGAAGTTTACATACACTAAGTTGACTGTGCCTTTAAACAGCTTGGAAAAGTCCAGAAAATGATGTCATGGCTTTAGAAGCTTCTGATAGGCTAATTGACATATTTTGGAGGTGTACTTGTGGATGTATTTCAAGGCCTACCTTCAAACTCACTGCCTCTTTGCTTGACATCATGGGAAAATCAAAAGAAATCAGCCAAGTCCTCAGAAAATAATTTCTAGACCTCCACAAGTCTGGTTCATCCTTGGGAGCAATTTCCAAACGCCTGAAGGTACCACGTTCATCTGTACAAACAATAGTACGCAAGTATAAACACCATGGGACCACGCAGCTGTCATACCGCTCAGGAAGGAGACGCGTTCTGTCTCCTAGAGATGAACGTACTTTGGTGCGAAAAGTGCAACTCAATCCCAGAACAACAGCAAAGGACCTTGTGAAGATGCTGGAGGAAACAGGTAGAAAAGTATCTATATCCACAGTAAAACGAGTCCTATATCGACATAACCTGAAAGACCGCTCAGCAAGGAAGAAGCCACTGCTCCAAAACCACCATAAAAAAGCCAGACTCCGGTTTGCAACTGCACATGGAAATGTCCTCTGGTCTGATGAAACAAAAATAGAACTGTTTGGCCATAATGACCATCGTTATGTTTGGAGGAAAAAGGGGGATGCTTGCAAGCCAAAGAACACCATCCCAACCATGAAGCACGGGGGTGGCAGCATCATGCTGTGGGGGTGCTTTGCTGAAGGAGGGACTGGTGCACTTCACAAAATAGATGGAATCATGAGGAAGGAAAAGTATGTAGATATATTGAAGCAACATCTCAAGACATCAGTCAGGAAGTTAAAGCTTGGTCGCAAATGGGTCTTCCAAATGGACAATGACCCCAAGCATACTTCCAAAGTTGTGGCAAAATGGCTTAAGGACAACAAAGTCAAGGTATTGGAGTAGCCATCACAAAGCCCTGACCTCAAAAAAGTGTGTGCGAGCAAGGAGGCCTACAAACCTGACTCAGTTACAACAGCTCATTCAGGGGGAATGGGCCAAAATTCACCCAACTTTATTGTGGGAAGCTTGTGGAAGGCTACCCAAAATGTTTGACCCAAGTTAAACAATTTAAAGGCAATGCTACCAAATACTAATTGAGTGTATGTAAACTTCTGATCAACTGGGAATGTGATGAAATAAATAAAAGCTGAAAGAAATCATTCTCCCTACTATTATTCTGACATTTCACATTCTTAAAATAAAGTGGTGATCCTAACTGACCTAAGACAGGGAATTTAAATGTCACGAATTGTGAAAAACTGAGTTTAAATGTATTTGGCTAAGGTGTATGTAAACTTCCGACTTCAACTGTATATATGTGTGTGTGTGTGTGTGTGTGTGTGTGTGCATTCTCCTGCGTACATGCGTGTGTGTGCGTTACAGTTTTTCTCGATTGCTAAGACACATTTCTTGAAAGCTGCTCTCCTTTTCTCTTAACTGTGAACACAAAACCCAATTTTCAAGCTACATTCACAAAACCTCAGACTCTTCTTGCAAAACCAAAATTTCACCTCAAAACAGTTCAATCTGTGCTCAAAACTGAACTATGTTGTCAAATCGTGCCCCGAGTCAATCAAAATAAAAAACACTACTGAACAGTCACTAAACACTACGTAGAAAAATAGAAAACACAACGCTCAGGACATGAAGCTGGAGAAATAAATGTTTATTGTTCACTGTAGGCTAAATGCATGTTGCAAAACAAAAAAAAACTGTGCATTTAGCACTTGTACAAAAAGACAAAACAGAAATCTTGTGCATTTACATGTAGCACTTGTAAAAACAAACAGAAATCTTATGCGTTTGCCACTTGTGTACAGTAAGCCCATGTAAAAATAAAGTACAAAAATATACAAATAAGTGCATTACTCAGCCACAGCATCATGTCTCCGTACTGGGTCAGGCCACAGGACTTCATCCACATCACAGGCCACATTTTGTCTGGCCAGGCAACGGGGGAAAAAAACCCTGGCATGCCGTATCCAGGCTTGGCATGCCTCCACACCTATGTCACCACAGGCAAGTCCCATGGCTTGCAGGAGATTTACCCTGGTGTAAGGTTGGCGTTCATATACCTTCCACCGCCATGAGGAGAATAATTCCTCAATGGGGTTTAGGAAAGGGGAGTACGGTGGAAGGCAAAGATTTATAAAACCTTGGTTCATATTGTACCACTCTCTAACCTGGAGGGCTCTGTGAAAACTCACATTGTCCCAAACAACAACATAGATGGGATGCTCATCCTGCTGCCCTGACAAAGCATCTCGCATGTGATTGAGGAAAATGAGGAGCTGGTGAGTGTTGTAGGGCCCCAGGTTGGCATGATGGTGGACAACCCCATGATTGCTGATGGCAGCACATAATGTGACATTGCCACCACGCTGCCCAGGAACACCAACAATGGCCCGATGGCCAATCACATTACGGCCTCTCCTTCTCCTTTTGGTGAGATTAAACCCAGCTTCATCCATGTAGATGTATTGATGGGGTCTTTCCATTGCATCCAGTTGAAAAACCCTCTGTAGAAATAGATATAGTTTTGTAAGTGATACGGAAAAAGTGATTTAGGCCACTACAGTAAATCACTACTTAGAGTAATCAACATTGAATGTGTCTGGATATATGCCAACCTGTACATACTGGAATCTTTGCTCTTTGACGCTGTCTGAGTTGCGATCAAAGGGCACTCTGTATAGCTGTTTCATGCGCAGTCTGTTGCGCTTGAGGACACAATCAACAGTAGAGAGGCTGACACTGTTGATACCCTCAAAATTTAAATGGTCCTCAATGATCTTCTGCTGAATTTCGCTCAGTTTAATGGCATTGTTCTCACGGACCATATCAACAATTAGGGTCTCTTGGTGTGGGGAGAACATACCTGTACTCCCACCCCCATGTGGCAGTCTTTCAATTCTACAAAAAGAGAACATGGAGTTACAAAAAATATACATGGAATACTAGGCCTACAAACAGTTAGACCAACCCTCCATTACAATACTACAGTACATTGGTACAGTGATGTACTGAAACATATATTACTTACAGTATACTGTGGTACAGTATATAGTATGTCATACAGTAATTGCTGTCAACATTTACATACTGTACTATAATGTCAAAAAAAGGTAATTACCTGTTCTCTTCTCTAAATCTTCGGATTATGGTGGACACAGTGAATCTACTGATGTTTGGTTGTACCCTTTGTCCAGCCTCCCTCATGCTCATACCATGGACAAGAACATGGTCAATCACAGTAGCTCTGATTTCATCAGATATTACTGTTCTTTGTCTTCGCTGACCACCTCGACCACCTCGACCTCCTCTCACACGAACTCTTCCTCTCAGATTTCTATCCATTGTAGGGCCTCACAAACCAGTGCTCTCTGAACTGGTTTACTGTATATGTTCCCTCACATCATTAGCCACAAGTGTGATCAATGTTGAGTTGTTGTGTTCAAGTGGTGACACCTGTGCTCTAATTGTGTTTGACTTTTGTCACCTGTGCTCACCATTATGCAGCACGGGTGCATCACAATGAAAAATGTGTTGGCAAGTTATGTCTAAACAGGTGAAAAGTGCTTATGGTTTTGCCAAAAGAGTGATTGATTCAATCAGTGGGTTCAGGCAACTGAGCATTTGGTTCAGACAATAGGGTTTAGTGTTTTAGCAATTGAGAAAAACTGTAATTTGTACTTGTGTGTGCGATGCAGTACTAACCCGTGCGTCTGCGTTCTGTGTGGCCTCTCTGATCTTCCCCACCCAACCGGTCAGGTCCTCCAGGGTGTCTGAAGCAATATCCAGCGCCTGGCCAGGGTGAATTGACATCTGCTGGGAGTGGATGGTGAACACATATGGCCTGGAACTCTTCCCATCCTTCTGAACCACTACAGAGATAGCAGAGAGAGAGAGAGAGAGAGAGAAGAGGAAGAGAGAGAGAGAGTCTCTAGAGACGATCGAAATAGAGAGAGATAGAGAGATGCGAGCGTCTCTCTCTCTCTAGAGAGCTACTACTCTCTCTATCTATAGCGATACTACGCTCTCTCTCTCTCTCTCGATCTCTGCCAAGAGAGAGCTTTACACATACACCACCACTCTTATTTCTGTAAAACTACACAGATAGAATAATAGGGGGTTAAACATACAGACCACTACCACTCACTGGGCCGCACCTACGTGGCAGGTTGGCACATCAGTTACACACAGACTCACCTACGTGGCAGGTGGGCACATCAATGAAGCCCTTGAGGAATGTTCCTAGTGGACTGTTCTCTGTAGACTGGAAGCAGGAAGTCAAAGACACAGGAAGCAGGAAGTCAGGACATGAAGTGAGCTTCATTCCCCTCTAGCTGCTGTAGAAGGCATGTGTGTTTGTGTATAGTACAGTGTGTGTTTGTGTCTATCATGAATGCATGAATGAGTGTATGTATGGCCTATGTATGCCTATACTATAACGTACTGCCTCATCTCCTGTCTCGCGGGCGGGTGAGTTGGGGACTTCTTCTACGTAGTTGGCAGGAAACCACAGCTGCTTCTTCCCTCCGTAATCACCTCGCCACCTAGGGGCCGGAGGAGGGAAATCCACGATTTAAAAACTACTCAGAGAAATGCTATATTATCAACTCCATTCATCAACCCACAGTGGTTTTCATCCATGCAGAAACGTAACCGGGGTGACCAGGAGTGTGCACTCTTTAGCTAATCAATGACATTGACTAATCAATTAAGTGCCATGGAGATATGAAAACCCTGTTCCACTCACCAGCCTCCTTCCTGCTTGTCCACACTTAGGATGAGGGCCTGTTTGGGGAAACACAGCTCGTCTTCCCTCTGGGCTCTGTAGTCATACAGGGCCTTGACCGTACACTGCAACACAAGACCCCAACACAAACACTAAATCATACAGTGACTTGACCGTACACTAGATATCTTCATGGAACCACCTGTACCCGAATACCCGAGACCCGATCTGGGACCCGAGCGCATCCTGATCCATACTTCTAAATAATGTCACGGGTCTGGGTCGGATCTGATATAATTGTCACGGGTCTCGTATATGTGTCATTTTAACGGACTTTTCCTGAAGGACCCGTACAGATCCGAACGCGACTGCTGCAGTAGACAGAGAGACATTTTATAATTTATGCTGCTGCTCTTGCTTTTCACGAGAGTGGCGCGTGTAGCTTATTGTTGTTGATGGCCAATCAGAAGTCATCAAAGCAGCAGTAGGCTACAGTCATAGAGCCTCTGTGTGGCAAAAGTTAGGAGATGTCTAATCAATGGAAGATGGAACAACCAAGAGCCAACAGGTAGCCTGCTACTTAATATTCTGAATGGAGTTAATGTTAGGATGAGAAAGCGCATGCACTGCAGCCTCAATTAGCCTAGCTAGCTAACGTTTGCTATCTTACTAGCTTTTCCCGGTTTGATGCAGTCAAGACAGATACTATGTAATCATATTGGATGATAAATAACCTAGCTATGGCAGCTATTAGTCTACTATAGTGTGAGTCGGCTTGTTGGTTGGTTGCTGTCTCTCATCTTTCGTCTCTCCCTCCCTGCTCCCCGTGTCACTCGCTCACGGCACCTCTCCCTCCTATCGCGCTTTATCAGCTCTGGTTAATAATGTAACGACCCGGTATTGTGTTCTGTGTTCGTGGGTGTGTTATCGTTCTCATGGGTGCTAGCAGGGGTTAAATATGCCAGGACAGATGGAAAGGTTGGGGGGTTTGATGGGTAATCCCGCGGGGTTTTGGAATGCTTAAATAGGGGTTACGGTCTCATCTCTCTCTCTTCTGTTTTGGGACCCTTGACTTGACATGTTATATTTGTGTATGTTCGAGGTTTAGCGGCGTGGGCTGTGGCCTGAACAATAGCCCATTCAGGAATAAACCTGTGTTCTGCCTGTACACCTGGTGCCTGTCTCTCTTTTACTTTATGACCCAGCTGGGTCATTACAATAAAGTAGCTTAAAAAATGACTTTTCTGCTGCTTGCATCACTCAGATCGGATCGGACTGGATCTGGATCCGACCAGGTCTATACAGAACGGGTCTAGTTGTCTTCGGGTCCGTTCGGAACGGCTCTTTATATTTTAAATAAAATATTTAAGCATATCGGGACTCTTTTTGGACCCGTGAAGACCTCTACCGTACCACAACACAACCAACTGCTAAAGATCACAAGTCAAACATGAATGACCACAACTTGAACATTAATGATCATAACTTCAACATTAATGACCACAACTTCAACATTAATGACCACAACTTCAACATCAATGACCACAACTTTTCCGCTACTGCCCATATCATAAAGTATGTCATTGGCACACACCAAACACAGGCATGCCCAAACCTACAAATGTCACTTTTACTCTCTCTCTCTCTCTCTCTCTCTCACACACACACACACACACACACACACACACACACACACAGAATATAATATTTCACTTACCCGAGCCGTGGGCATCTTGTTGGCCTCGACGTAGAAATGTGGGGTCCTGACTTCATACAACGCTCCATAGTCTAGCTCCTGAATAGAGAGAGATATAGGGATACGTAATTATATAATAAATCAGATCTGAAAATGCACACATTCAAGGGCTCTGGACAGTGTTTTGAAGTGCTGTGTGTGTGTGTTACCGTGGTGCCCATGCGGTCCAGTGTGTCTTCGTTGATGGGGTAGCGCAGCCTCATCTTGCGGTACAGGGGGTGTTTCTCATAGTAGCTGACCAGGTCAACCAGACTCTCAAACTCTGCTGAGCTACCCAACATGAACATTCGTCCCTCCTGCTGGATACGACAGTGTTTGATCTTACCCTCCGCCCTATGGAGAGAGACAGGGGGAAGGGAGGGAGGGGAGAGAGAGAGAGGGGGGAGTGGACAGGGAAAGGGAGAGAGAGGGGGAGGGAAGAGGGGGAGAGAGGGGGGCGAGAGAGAGAGAGGAGAGAGAGGAGAGAGAGTAGAGACGGAGGGGAGAGGGGAGTTGACAGAGAGAGAGGGGTGGAAGGTCAGAGATTTGTAGTGTAGTGCAAAATAAAATATTTGGAATGGGCCCTCAGATCCTCAAAAAGTTATACAGCTGCACCACGAGAGCATCTTGACTGGCCGCGTCACCGCTTGGTATGGCAACTGCTTGGCATCTGACCGCAAGGCGCTACAGAGGGTAGTGCGTACGGCCCAGTACATCACTTGGGCTGAGCTCCCAGCCATCCAGGACCTCTATACCAGGCGGTGTCAGAGGAAGGCCCAATAAATGGTCAAAGACTCCAGCCACCCAAGCCACAAACTTTTCTCTCTGCTACCGCACGGCAAGCGGTACCAGTCTGGAACCAAAAGGACCCTGAACAGCTTCTACCCCCAAGCCATAAGATTGCTAAAGAAGACTGCTAAATGGCTAATCAAATGGCTATCCTGACTACCTGCATTGACCCTTTTATGCACTAACTCTCTTGCACTGACTCTATGCACACACACTAGACTCTACCCACACACTCACACATACTTACACTGACACCCCAACACACACATACACATACAATACATACGCCCACACATAACATGCACACACATGCATAGTGACGCCACACACACACTTACCACATACACTGCTGCTATAAACTACCTATACAGTGCATTCGGAAAGTATTCAGACCGCTTGACTTTTTCTACATTTCGTTACGTTATAGCCTTATTCTACAATGGATTAAATTGTGGGTTTTTTCTCATCAATCTACACACAATACCCCATAATGACAAAGCAAAAACAGGTTTTTAGATTTTCTTGCAAATTCATTAGAAATAAAAAACGGAAATATCATATTTACATAAGTATTCAGACCCTTTACTCAGTACTTTGTTGAAGCACCTTTGACAGCGATTACAGCCTCGAGTCTTCTTGAGTATGACGCTACAAGCTTGGCACACCTGTATTTAGGGAGTTTCTCCCATTCTTCTCTGTAGATTCTCTCAAGCTCTGTCAGGTTGGATGGCTGTTCTTGGGGACCGTCAATGCTACAGACATTTTTTGGTACCCTTCCCCAGATCTGTGCCTCGACATAATCCTGTCTCAGAGCTCTACGGACAATTCCTTCGACCTCATGGCTTGGTTTTTGCTCTGACATGCACTGTCAACTGTGGGACCTTATATAGACAGGTGTGTGCCCTTCCAAATCATGTCCAATCAATTGAATTTACCACAGGTGGACTCCAATCAAGTTGTAGAAACATCTCAAGTGTGATCAATGGAAACAGGATGCACCTGAGCTCAATTTCGAGTCTCATAGCAAAGGGTCTGAATACTTCTGTAAATAAGGTATTTCTGTTTGTTTTTTAAATATATTTGCAAACATTTCAAAAAAACTGTTTTCGCTTTGTCATTATGGGGTATTGTGTGTAGATTGATGAGGAATTTGTTTTATTTAATTCATTTTAGAATAAGGCTGTAACGTAACAAAATGTGGAAAAAGTGAACCGGTCTGAATACTTTCTGAATGCACTGTATTTACAGTACATATCTACCTCAATTACCTCCTACCCCTGCACATCGACTTGGTACTGGTACTCCCTGTATATAACCATGTTATTTTCTACTCTCTGTTAATAGCCATGTTATTTTCTACTCCCTGTATATAGCCATGTTATTTTCTACTCCCTGTATATAACCATGTTATTTTCTACTCCCTGTATATAACCATGTTATTTTCTACTCCCTGTATATAACCATGTTATTTTCTACTCCCTGTATATAACCATGTTATTTTCTACTCCCTGTATATAACCATGTTATTTTCTACTCCCTGTATATAGCCATGTTATTTTCTACTCCCTGTATATAACCATGTTATTTTCTACTCCCTGTATATAGCCATGTTATTTTCTACTCCCTGTATATAACCATGTTATTTTCTACTCCCTGTATATAACCATGTTATTTTCTACTCCCTGTATATAGCCATGTTATTTTCTACTCCCTGTATATAGTCATGTTATTTTCTACTCCCTGTATATAGTCATGTTATTTTCTACTCCCTGTATATAGCCATGTTATTTTCTACTCCCTGTATATAACCATGTTATTTTCTACTCCCTGTATATAGCCATGTTATTTTCTACTCCCTGTATATAACCATGTTATTTTCTACTCCCTGTATATAGCCATGTTATTTTCTACTCCCTGTATATAGTCATGTTATTTTCTACTCCCTGTATATAGTCATGTTATTTTCTACTCCCTGTATATAGCCATGTTATTTTCTACTCCCTGTATATAACCATGTTATTTTCTACTCCCTGTATATAACCATGTTATTTTCTACTCCCTGTATATAACCATGTTATTTTCTACTCCCTGTATATAACCATGTTATTTTCTACTCCCTGTATATAACCATGTTATTTTCTACTCCCTGTATATAGCCATGTTATTTTCTACTCCCTGTATATTGTCATGTTATTTTCTACTCCCTGTATATAACCATGTTATTTTCTACTCCCTGTATATTGTCATGTTATTTTCTACTCCCTGTATATAACCATGTTATTTTCTACTCCCTGTATATAGCCATGTTATTTTCTACTCCCTGTATATAACCATGTTATTTTCTACTCCCTGTATATAACCATGTTATTTTCTACTCCCTGTATATAGCCATGTTATTTTCTACTCCCTGTATATTGTCATGTTATTTTCTACTCACTGTATATAGCCATGTTATTTTCTACTCCCTGTTTATAATCATGTTATTTTCTACTCCCTGTATATTGTCATGTTATTTTCTACTCCCTGTATATAACCATGTTATTTTCTACTCCCTGTATATTGTCATGTTATTTTCTACTCCCTGTATATAACCATGTTATTTTCTACTCCCTGTATATAACCATGTTATTTTCTACTCCCTGTATATAGCCATGTTATTTTCTACTCCCTGTATATTGTCATGTTATTTTCTACTCCCTGTATATAGCTATGTTATTTTCTACTCCCTGTATATAACCATGTTATTTTCTACTCCCTGTATATAACCATGTTATTTTCTACTCCCTGTATATAGCCATGTTATTTTCTACTCCCTGTATATAACCATGTTATTTTCTACTCCCTGTATATAACCATGTTATTTTCTACTCCCTGTATATAGCCACGTTATTTTTACTCTTTATTTTTATTCGTTATTCACTGTGTCTATTTTCTATTTTATCTTCTCTTTAACTCTGCATTGTTGGAAAAGGACCCATAAGTCAGCATTTCACTGTTAGTCTACACCTGCTGTCTACGAAGCATGTGAAAAACAAATTTTTTATTTTATTTGAATATAATTTAACAGTGTTTGTTTTTCTGTGTATGTTTGTATGTGTGTATGTGTGTGTGTGTGTGTGTGTGTATGCATGTGTGTGTGTGTGTTACCTGAAGGAGATAGCATAGGAGTTGATGTCGCTGCGTTTGCGGAGCAGGTAGGCTCCGTCTCTGGGTACCCTCATCAACATGTGTTCAGCCTGGACACGAGACAGACTGGAGTGGAACCACCTAAACACAGCATACACAGAGTACTCACGTGTCTGTATGTGTGTGTATGAGGGCGTGTGTGTGTACGAGGGCGTGTGTACGAGGGTGTGTGTGTGTGTACGAGGGCGTGTGTGTGTATGAGGGCGTGTGTGTAGGAGGGCATGTGTGTGTACGAGGGCGTGTGTGTGTACGAGGACGTGTGTGTGCGTGTACGAGGGCATGTGTGTGTCACAGGAGGTTGGTGTCACCTTAATTGGGGAGGACGGGCTCGTGGTAATGACTGGAGTGGAATAGGTGGAATGGTATCAAATACATCAAACACATGGTTTCTATGTGTTTGATGCCATTCCATTTGCTCCGTTCCAGCCATTACTTTGAGCTGTCCTCCCCTCAGCAGCCTCCACTGGTGTGTGTGTGTGTGTGTGAACATGGGAAACACAACATGTGTGTTACTTAAGCAATAAGGCCCGAGGGGGTGTGGTATATGGCCAATATACCACGGCTAATGACTGTTCATACAGTGAGGGAAAAAAGTATTTGATCCCCTGCTGATTTTGTACGTTTGCCCACTGACAAAGAAATGATCAGTCTATAATTTTAATGGTAGGTTTATTTGAACAGTGAGAGACAGAATAACAACAAAAAAATCCCATGTCAAAACGCATGTCAAAAATGTTATAAATTGATTTGCATTTTAATGAGGGAAATAAGTATTTGACCCCCTCTCAATCAGAAAGATTTCTGGCTCCCAGGTGTCTTTTATACAGGTAACGAGCTGAGATTAGGAGCACACTCTTAAAGGGAGTGCTCCTAATCTCAGCTTGTTACCTTTATAAAAAGACACCTGTCCACAGAAGCAATCAATCAGATTCCAAACTCTCCACCATGGCCAAGACCAAAGAGCTCTCCAAGGATGTCAGGGACAAGATTGTAGACCTACACAAGGCTGGAATGGGCTACAAGACCATCGCCAAGCAGCTTGGTGAGAAGGTGACAACAGTTGGTGCGATTATTCGCAAATGGAAGAAACACAAAAGAACTGTCAATCTCCCTCGGCCTGGGACTCCATGCAAGATCTCACCTCGTGGAGTTGCAATGATCATGAGAACGGTGAGGAATCAGCCCAGAACTACACGGGAGGATCTTGTCAATGATCTCAAGGCAGCTGGGACCATAGTCACCAAGAAAACAATTGGTAACACACTACGCCGTGAAGGACTGAAATTCTGCAGCGCCCGCAAGGTCCCCCTGCTCAAGAAAGCACATATACAGGCCCGTCTGAAGTTTGTCAATGAATATCTGAATGATTCAGAGGAGAACTGGGTGAAAGTGTTGTGGTCAGATGAGACCAAAATGGAGCTCTTTGGCATCAACTCAACTCGCCGTGTTTGGAGGAGGAGGAATGCTGCCTATGACCCCAAGAACACCATCCCCACCGTCAAACATGGAGGTGGAAACATTATGCTTTGGGGGTGTTTTTCTGCTAAGGGGACAGGACAACTTCACCGCATCAAAGGGACGATGGACGGGGCCATGTACCGTCAAATCTTGGGTGAGAACCTCCTTCCCTCAGCCAGGGCATTGATAATGGGTTGTGGATGGGTATTCCAGCATGACAATGACCCAAAACACATGGCCAAGGCAACAAAGGAGTGGCTCAAGAAGAAGCACATTAAGGTCCTGGAGTGGAGGGAGCTGAAGGTTTGAGTTGCCAAACATCAGGCTCGAAACCTTAATGACTTGGAGAAGATCTGCAAAGAGGAGTGGGACAAAATCCCTCCTGAGATGTGTGCAAACCTGGTGGCCAACTACAAGAAACGTCTGACCTCTGTGATTGCCAACAAGGGTTTTGCCACCAAGTACTAAGTAATGTTATGCAGAGGGATCAAATACTTATTTCCCTCATTAAAATGCAAATCAATTTATAACATTTTTGACATGCATTTTTCTGGATTTTGTTGTTGTTATTCTGTCTCTCACTGTTCAAATAAACCTACCATTAAAATTATAGACTGATCTATACTGATGTCTTTGTCAGTGGGCAAATGTACAAAATCAGCAGGGGATCAAATACTTTTTTCCCACTGCATCACGACGCAACGCGGAGTGCCTGGACACAGCCCTTAGCTGTGGTATATTGGCAATATACCACAAACCCCCGAGGTTCTTATTGCTATTATAAACTGGTTACCAATGTAATTAGAGCAGTAAAAATAAATGTTTTGTCATACCTGTGTTATACGGTCTGATACACCACGGCTGTCAGCCAATCAGCATTCAGGGCTCGAACCACCCAGTTTATAATAACACATTAACACTCTTTCTTTCTCTCTTTCTCTCTTTCTCTCTCACACCCCCACCCCCAACCCCCTCCCCTCTTACTCTCTGCTCTCGTGTGCGTTGGGCTGTGGTACAGGGCTGCCCAGCCTCATCTCAAACTCGTTGCAGCGTAGGGGAGTGTCTCTGTAGTGGCAGATGAGTCTATACAGGCTGTCAAACACCAAGTTGTCAGTCAGGTAGTAGCGGGTGGAGCCAGACTCCTGGCGGGAGTGGATCCTACAGTGCTGCACACGCCCAGATCGCCTGGAGGGGAGGGGCCACAGGTGTCAATCAAGATGGAAGGGCCCACACATGACATTATGTCCTGGGGACCAACAAGGTCCCAAATGGCACCCTACTCCCTATTTAGTGTACTATACTGAACAAAAATATAAATGCAACATGTAAAGTGTTGGTCCCATGTTTCATGAGCTGAAATAAAGGATCCCAAAATGTTCCATACGCACAAACAGCTTATTTCTCTCAAATTGTGTGCACACATTTGTTTACATCCCTGTTAGTGAACATTTCTCCTTTGCCAAGATAATCCATCCACCTGACAGGTGTGGCATATCAAGAAGCTGATTAAACAGCATTGCCATTACACAGGTGCACATTGTGCTGGGGACAATAAAAGGCCACTCTAAAATGTGCTGTTTTGTCACACAACACAATGCCACAGATGTCTCAAGTTTTGAGCACAGAGAGGACCAGCATAGAGAGGACCAGAATAGAGAGGACCAGCATAGAGAGGACCAGCATAAAGAGGACCAGCATAAAGAGGACCAGCATAGAGACATAGAGAGGACCAGCATAGAGAGGACCAGCATAGAGAGGATCAGCATAGAGAGGACCAGCATAGAGACATAGAGAGGACCAGCATAGAGAGGACCAGCATAAAGAGGACCAGCATAGAGAGGACTAGCATAGAGAGGACCAGCATAAAGAGGACCAGCATAGAGAGGACCAGTATAGAGACATAGAGAGGACCAGCATAGAGAGGACCAGCATAGAGAGGACCAGTATAGAGACATAGAGAGGACCAGTATATAGACATTGAGAGGACCAGCATAAAGAAGACCAGCATAGAGAGGACCGGCATAGAGAGGACCAGCATAGAGAGGACCAGCATAGATTACCAACATAGAGAGGACCAGTATAGAGAGGACCAGCATAGAGAGGACCAGCATAGAGATATAGAGAGGACCAGCATAGAGAGGACCAGCATAAAGAGGACCAGCATAGAGACATAGAGAGGACCAGCATAGAGAAGACCAGCATAGAGGGGACCAGCATAAAGAGGACCAGCATAGAGAGGACCAGCATAGAGATGACCAGCATAAAGAGGACCAGCATAGAGAGGACCAGCATAAAGAGGACCAGCATAGAGAGGACCAGTATAGAGACATAGAGAGGACCAGCATAGAGAGCTCCAGCATAGAGAGGACCAGCATAAAGAGGACCAGCATAGAGAGGACAAGCATAAAGAGGACCAGCACAGAGAGGACAAGCATAGAGAGGACCAGCATAGAGAGGACCAGCATAAAGAGGACCAGCATAGAGACATAGAGATGACCAGCATAGAGAGGACCAACATAGCGAGGACTAGCATACAGAGGACCAGCACAGAGAGGACCAGCATAGAGAGGACCAGCATAGAGACATAGAGAGGAAGGGATGGATAGAGAGATGAAGGATAGATAGGTGACTGACCAGAAGGAGAGAGTGTAGTCTCCTACGAAGGTCTCACTCTCTCGAACCAGGAAGGTCCCATCCTTGCCCCCGCCCTCACAGTACTCCTGCAGCAGTTTCTCGGCAACCTGCCTCCCATCCCGCCCCCCTCCCAGCTTCCCATGGAACCAGCGCTCCGCACAGTGTTGCTCATTGTTGTTACACTCCTAGATGGGGGGGAGAGAGAGGAGAAGGAGGGGGGGGGGAGGGAGAGAGGGAGAGAGAGGGAGGAGGGAGGGAGGGATAGGGGGAGGTCAGAGAGGGGAAGGGAAGGGGGAGAGATTTTGGTCTTTTTCTCTCGCTCTTCTCTCCATCTCTCTACTCTCTCTTCTCCTCTAGCTCTATATCGACTCTCCTAGAGATCTCGAGAGAGAGAGATTAGAAATGCAAATTATAAAACATTCCGTTCCACTTAATTCTACATCCTGCTATTTACCTAGTAACTACTGTAGTTAGAAATTACATGGTAAAATAGTAATTACCTAACAATTACCTTACAATTACATTTAGGTTTCTTTCCTCCCATCGAAGATCATTCAAGTGTGTTGAATTCTTTCAAGTAGGTCAAGGAAAGTATGTTGTTACCAAATATGACCAAACAGGACAGTTAAATAAGGTATGAGCAAGCATTGTCTGTTCCACTCACTTTTGTAACCACCCCTCTCACCTCTTTCCCCCCCTCCTCTTCCATCTCCTCCTCCTCCTCTTCCTCGGCAGTCTGGTAGTGAGAGGTCTCCTCTGAGTAGTAGATCTTATTACTGCTCAGAACAAAGTAGTGGGGAGTCCACGTCTGAAACACACACACACACACACACACACGAGTAAGCAACATACAAATGATCACACACACACACACCTACTGTATGCACATACATGTCGCATACACACATATTCACACACACACTCACGTGGTCTATGGGGTCTTCCAGGTAGAGAATGCCATTCCTGAGGGAGTTACTGATGTCACTCTCAGAGTAGCTGGCTGACGTCACCTCTTCATACAGAGTGCCCTCCACTAGTTTCTTATGCTGAAACACACACACACACGGTTTAGTTTAGGTTGACTAATGGTTGACTTTGGGTCAGTATTGTGTCTGAAATGGCATACTATTCCCTATAGTAGTCTTTTGACCAGAGGCCCTATAACCATTTCAGAGAGCCATGTCAGACACAGCCCATAGACTTGGCATGGTCATGTTATGGTCAGTGTGTTTGACCGCGCGGTCGTTCAGTCACCTTGATGAGTATCTTCCTGCGTAGCTGGTAGGGCGATGGCAGCTCATCTGCATTCAGATCCACTGGTTTGGTCAGCAGCAGATCCCCAAACACCTTCTTAAAGTGAGTAGCCATGTTCCTTTGTTGGACCACACTACAGTGGTCCTCTATGGACAGGATCACTGGGTACCTAGAGATACAGATACAAACACGCACGTAAGACACACACACACGTTAAAGAGAGACAGTGAGTGATTGAGTGAGTGAGTGAATGAGTGTGTGTGTGTGTGTGTGTTTGTGTGTGTGTGTCTACTCACTCTGACGTGACAAAGGCATGCTCTTTGATGGTGTGCAGCACGTCCAGGAATTTGATCTTGGAGGTGAGGGTGTGGCCATGGTAGATGATTGGCAGGTCATCGGGCCCATCCCAGCAATCAACTGAAACAATGTTTACACACAGAGCAAGGTCAAGGTTAGATTTGATCAATAGTTGCCTTGAATGTTCCTGCATGCTTTATTCTTGTGTGTTGTTGCTTTAGCAATAAAACATGTTTTGTCATGCCAATAAAGCATTTTGAATATAATTGAATTGAGAAAGAGAGATGGAGGGAGTTAGAGAGGATGAAGTGTCTTACGTTCTATGCAGCGACAGCCCATCCTTAGGCAGCGAGCGTAGGCCTCTAGAGATGACTCACTGGAGAACTGATCACCTGTCAGATACCTGAGAGAGAAGATGGAGAAAGGGAGAGGGAGAGAGAGGTGGAGAGGGGGGATGGAGAGAATGAGGAAGAGGGAGGGAGAGAGAGGACGATAGGAAAGGAAGTGAAGAGGGAGAGAGAGTTACATGGAAGATGGAATGAGCAGTATGAATGATGGAATTTGAGAGAGAGACAGAGAGCAAGAGAGAGATAGAGGTAGAGAGACAGAGAGGTAGAGAGGTAGAGGTGGAGAGAGACAGAGAGGTAGAGAGAGGTAGAGGTAGAGAGATAGAGGTAGAGAGAGGTAGAGGTGGAGAGAGACAGAGAGCAAGAGAGAGATAGAGGTAGAGAGACAGAGAGGTAGAGAGAGGTAGAGAGAGGTAGAGGTGGAGAGAGACAGAGAGGTAGAGAGAGGTAGAGGTGGAGAGAGAGAGAGCAAGAGAGAGATAGAGGTAGAGAGAGGTAGAGAGGTAGAGAGAGGTAGAGGTATAGAGAAACAGAGAGGTAGAGAGAGTTAGAGGTGGGAGAGAGAGAGGTTGAGAGTGGTAGAGGTATAGAGAGACAGAGAGGTAGAGAGAGTTAGAGGTGGAGAGAGAGAGAGAGGTAGAGGTGGAGAGAGACAGAGGTAGAGAGAGGTAGAGGTAGAGAGAGGTAGAGAGGTAGAGAGAGGTAGAGGTATAGAGAAACAGAGAGGTAGAGAGAGTTAGAGGTGGAGAGAGAGAGAGAGGTATAGGTGGAGAGAGAGAGGTTGAGAGTGGTAGAGGTATAGAGAGACAGAGAGGTAGAGAGAAGCAGAGGTGGAGAGAGAGAGAGAGGTTGAGAGTGGTAGAGGTATAGAGAGACAGAGAGGTAGAGAAAGTTAGAGGTGGAGAGAGACAGAGAAATAGAGGTAGAGGTATAGAGGTGTGACCCTACGTGTTGTGTGATGAGGAGATCCAGTACTGAGACAGGGGTCTCTTCATATCGTCAGAGACAACAGCAGCAGGTCGAGGGTCACACAATGAGTTCTCCTTGGAGTACAGGAACGTCAGGAACTGAACAGAGAACATTAGAGGATGAGCAGACCAGGGAGAGAGAGAGAGTGGTGTGTGTGTGCGTGGGTGTGTGTGTCTCACCTCATCTAGCTGTAGCATAGGTTCGGTCTGTGCTCCACCCCTCAGGTAGCCCATTAGGAACTCTCTGACGCGGCTCATGTCCGACGCCCATGACTCCTGCATGTGTCACAGGATCATGACATCATCAACATGCGACCCTCTATCCCTCCATCCAATGTCTCAGCCATAGAGTTGGATAGAGGGCTCATTTGCCACAAAGCCTGTTTTAGCATGGGCAGCACCATTGAGGACTCACCATGTTGATGTAGTCAACTTGGTGGGACTTCCTATGGGTTAAGGAAGGATCACAGAAATCCATCCAGGTCATCAGGAGGGATCACCAATGAATTATACTCCTGAGCAAACATTCCATATGGCAGTTAATCACCAACCTTAGCCTTATCCTATCCCACCTCAAAACCTTCACTGACACCCTCCTTGACCCCCTGCAGTTCGCCTACAGAGTCAACAGGTGTGTGGATGAAGCTGTCAACATGGATCTCCACTACATCCTTCAGCACCTCGACAACCCAAGGACTTGTGCGAAGTTATCTGACTCCATCTGTCGGTGGATCAACAACTTCCTGTCCAACAGGACACAATACATGAAGCTGGGAAAACACCTCTTGGACTCTCTGTCCCTCAGCACTGGAGCGCCGCAGGGTTGCATGCTCTCCTTTCTTCTCTACTCACTCTAATCCAACGACTGCACCTCCAACGACCTGTCTGTCAAGCTACTCAAGTTCGCAGATGACACCACCCTAGTCGGCCTTATCTCCAATGGTGATGAGTCCATGTACCGAAGAGAGGTTGACCGGATGGTGGCCTGGTGCAGTCACAAAGAATTTACAGCTTGAAATCAACGACTCAGCTGTAAGTACGGCTGAGTCATTCAAATTCCTGGGGACCATCATCTCCCACAACCTCAAGTGGGAGGACAACATCACAGCGGTCACCAAAAAGGCACACCAGTGGGTGTACTTCTTGCGTCAACTGAAGAAATTAAAACTCTCACTCTACACAGCCATCATCGAGCCCTCCTCACCTCCTCGATCACTGTCTGGTTCAGGAATGCCTCTGCCTGGTCCAAGGGTAAACTGCAACGGATTGTGCGGCTGCTGAGAGGGTCATCAGCTGCCACCTGCCCTCCATCGTAGACCTTCACGACTCCAGGACAAGGAAGCGTGCAGGAAAGTTCATCACCGACCCCTTACATCCCGGTCACCCCCTCTTCCAAAGACTCCCCTCTGGCAAACGGTTCAGGTCAATCATGACCAAAACCTCCTGCAACCTGAACACCTTCTTCCCGGAACAGCTTCTTAGTTTTTATTTAAAGAAATGGAGGAGATTCTGATGCCTGTTCAGACAACACACTCCTGGTGGCAATGCACCCTTTCAGTTTGTCCACAAACTATCAATAAACTCATAGAAGTAGTAGAAGAAGAAAATGGAGAACAATAAAATGGAGATAGCTCTCAATGGCGCTGTCCATGCTATCACATAAACCATTAGTGCAAAGATGAGCTCTCTAGTACATCTCTATGGTCTCAGCCCACAACAGTATCTGTTTATTTTTTATACCCCCCTTTTCATGATATCCAATTACGATCTTGTCTCATCGCTGCAACTTCCCAACGGGCTCGGGAGAGGCGAAGGTCGAGTCATGCGTCCTCCGAAACATGACCCGCCAAACCGTGCTTCTTAACACCCACCCGCTTAACCCGGTAGCCAGCTGCACCAATGTGTCAGAGGAAACACTGTTCAACTGACGACCGAAGTCAGCCTGCAGGCACCCGGCCCGCCACAAGGAGTCGCTAGCGCACGACAAGCCAAGTAAAGCCCCCGCGGCCAAACCCTCCCCTAACCCGGACGACGCTGGGCCAATTGTGCGCTGCCCTATGGGACTCCCGGTCACGGCCAGTTGTGAAACAGCCTGGGAACGAACCCGGGTCTGTAGTGACGCCTCTAGCTCTGCGATGCAGTGCCTTAGACCGCTGCGCCACTCGGGAGGCCTAGCAGCATCTGTTTCACTGAGCAGCACTGTGTAATATGTTAACCATGAAGCATGTGAAAATGTGCCAGTACCTTCTGATCCAGCTGTAGAAACTTCTGGAAGTCGTACAAAGAGATCTGACACAGCTCTGGTCTGTCCACGTTCCTACACACACACACACACACACACACACAAAACTGTTTAAAGGGCAGCACAATATTATATTTACATTTACGTCATTTAGCAGACGCTCTTAATATATATAGGTTACCTCTAATTAGTGGGTTGAGAATAGAGGAGAATAAAAAAGAAATGTGAGGTAGGAAGATGGATAGACATCAACGAAATGTAGGAGATTTGGGAAGACACATAGGGACAATAGGAGGAGGAGGAGGGACTCACCGGAGGGGGAAGGAGAGCTCCAGCTGCTCAATGATCTGAGGGAACAGAGGGAGAGCAAGGTGAGGTGTATGTGTATGTATGTGAGTGTGTGTGTGTGCACGAGCGTGTGTGTGTGTATGCATGTTTTCTAATACTCACACTCCTCTGTGCGTCGAACATCAATGTTCTGTAGAGCTGAGAAAAGTGAGGGAAGGAGAGATCACACCTGGCTTCCACTTCCTGTCCAGAGAGGAAGTACACAAGTTATTACATGTCCAAATCCTCTCCTTTAAACTGTGGCAGCCTGTACATGCCTGGGTATATCTATCATCTATTACCTGTAGCTTGTCTTTGAGGAAGCGCATGTTGGGGACTCTGTAGTTGATCTGAGGTAACAGGGCCTTCACATCCTTTACTGTGATACTGGACAGGACAATGCAATAAAGGAACAATATATATAACAGAGACAATAGAACATTACTGACTGGACAATCAAATGTTACATCTATTCACATCAGTTTGAATTGTCACTCTTTCATCAGGTCCAGTGATTTAGTCAGTACCTATCTGAACCAGCAGGGGGCGTATGTTGACCAAAGGAAGGATTACAGTATTATAGTTCTGTTTAGTTGTGTTTCAGTTTGTTTCCAGCCAGAACCATAGTGAAGTTTAGTTATGTTTCCAGCCAGAGCCAGAGTGGAGTTTAGTTATGTTTCCAGCCAGAGTAGAGTTTAGTCATATTACTAGCCAGAGCTAGTGGAGTTTAGTTATGTTTCCAGCCAGAGCTAGAGTGGAGTTTAGTTATGTTTCCAGCCAGAGCTAGAGTGGAGTTTAGTTATGTTTCCAGCCAGAGCTAGAGTGGAGTTTAGTTATGTTTCCAGCCAGAGCTAGAGTGGAGTTTAGTTATGTTTCCAGCCAGAGCTAGAGTGGAGTTTAGTTATGTTTTCAGCCAGAGCTAGAGTGAAGTTTAGTTATGTTTTCATCCAGAGCTACAGAAGAGTTTAGTTATGTTTCCAGCCAGAGTTAGAATGGAGTTTAGTTATGTTTCCAGCCAGAGCTAGAATGGAGTTTAGTTATGTTTCCAGCAAGAGCTACAGAAGAGTTTAGTTATGTTTCCAGCCAGAGCTAGAGTAGAGTTTAGTCATATTACCAGCCAGAGCTAGAGTGGAGTTTAGTTATGTTTCCAGCCAGAGATAGAATGGAGTTATGTTACCAGCCAGAGTTAGAGTGGAGTTTAGTTATGTTTCCAGCCAGTGCTAGAGTGGAGTTTAGTTATGTTTCCAGCCAGAGCTAGAATGGAGTTTAGTTATGTTTCCAGCCAGAGCTAGAGTAAAGTTTAGTTATGTTTCCAGCCAGAGCTAGAATGGAGTTTAGTTATGTTTCCAGCCAGAGCTAGAATGGAGTTTAGTTATGTTTCCAGCCAGAGCTACAGAAGAGTTTAGTTATGTTTCCAGCCAGAGCTAGAGTAGAGTTTAGTCATATTACCAGCCAGAGCTAGAATGGAGTTTAGTTATGTTTCCAGCCAGAGCTACAGAAGAGTTTAGTTATGTTTCCAGCCAGAGCTAGAGTAGAGTTTAGTATATTTACCAGCCAGAGCTAGAAGTGGAGTTTAGTTATGTTTCCAGCCAGAGCTAAGTGGAGTTTAGTTATGTTTCCAGCAGAGCTAGAGTGGAGTTTAGTATGTTCCAGCCAGAGCTAGAGTGGAGTTTAGTTATGTTTCCAGCCAGAGCTAGAAGAGTTTAGTTATTTTCCAGCAGAGCTAGAGTGGAGTTTAGTTATGTTTCCAGCAAGAGCTAGAGTGGAGTTTAGTTATGTTTCCTGCCAAAGCTAAAGTTAGTATTCCGCAGGAGTGGATTAGTTATGTTTCCAGCCAGAGCTAGAGTGAGTTTAGTTATGTTTCCTGCCAGAGCAGAGTGGAGTTTAGTTATGTTTCCAGCCAGAGTAAGAGTGGAGTTTAGTTACGTTTCCAGCAAGAGCTAGAGTGGAGTTTAGTTATGTTTCCTGCCAAAGCTAGAGTGGAGTTTAGTTATGTTTCCTGCCAAAGCTAGAGTGGAGTTTAGTTATGTTTCCAGCCAGAGTTAGAGTGGAGTTTAGTTATGTTTCCAGCCAGAGCCAGAGTGGAGTTTAGTTATGTTTCCAGCCAGAGCTAGAGTGGAGTTTAGTTATGTTTCCAGCCAGAGCTAGAGTAGAGTTTAGTTATGTTTCCAGCCAGAGCTAGAGTAGAGTTTAGTTATGTTTCCAGCCAGAGTTAGAGTGGAGTTTAGTTATGTTTCCAGCCAGAGTTAGAGTGGAGTTTAGTTATGGAGTATCACAGTTCTGTTTAGTTTGTTTAGAGCCAGAGCTATGGGCGAGTGGCAGCCGGAAAGCCTCCTGCCTGGTCTCAATGTTTGGGCTCCACAGGGAGGGGCGGAGAGCAGGGGGGTGATCTCTCTCTCTTCCCGATTCCACCGGACGGGCCAGAGGAGGGGAGCAGGGCTGGTTCTGGCTGGGTCGGGTACACACTGGATATCTCTCTGCCTCTCTCAGTCTCTGTCTCTGTGTCTGTCTCTGTGTCTGTCTTTCTTTCTTTCTTTCTTTCTAACTTTTTGTTTCTTTCTTTCTAATTCAATCCCTCTCTAGTTTCCTCTTTCTTTTGCTATCACTCTCAGACAGTCTCTTTGTGTTATGGGATATCTCTCTGTTTTCTCTCCCGCTCCACTCTGTCTTTCCCCTCCTGCAGGGTTGGGGCACATGGCCGATCACTTTGTTGATTAACTAGACACAAGCTGCTGTCCTCCAGCCTCTCAGAGAGTACTGATAGTTTGTGTGTGTGCGTGTGTGTGTGTGTGTGTGTGTGTGTGTGTGTGTGTGAGTGTGTGTGTGTGTGTGTGTGAGGGAGAGAGCAAGACGAAGATGGAGGAGAGCAGATACATCCCTGAGAGAAACTCCACCTGTCCTGGGGGATGTTGTTTTAGCATGTCTGCTTTCTCTCTCTCTCCCTCCCACTTCCCCCCTTAACACACTCCTTTAGCTCCTTTCTTTCTCGCTCTCTGTCCCTGTCTTGGTCTTTCCCTATCTTCCCCCATTCTTTCTCTGGCTAGCATTTATCTCTCTGTCCCTCTGTTCTGTTCATCCTCTGTTCAATCAACTCTCCTTTGTTTAACTCGTTATTTATCACCCCTCGTTATTTTGCTCTGATTTGGAGCTCCTGTTTCTATTTCCATTGAGACAGGAAGTTTCCCTCTCCCAACCCATCGCATCACTTCCTGTTCCTGTTCCTTATCAGGCGGTGGCAGACAGGCTGTTTGTGCTGGACCGCTTCCTCCCAAAGAGGTAGGAGCCACGGGACTGAGCTGGGGACAAGTGGAGATGTAAGGAGCTGGAGCTAGGGCTGGGGTTAGAGCTGGAGCTAGGGCTGGGGCTGGAGCTAGGGCTGGAGCTAGGGCTGGAGCTGGAGCTGGAGCTAGGGCTAGGGCTAGGGCTGGAGCTAGGGCTGGGACTGGAGCTGGAGCTAGGGCTGGGGTTAGAGCTGGAGCTAGGGCTAGGGCTGGAGCTAGGGCTGGGACTGGAGCTGGAGCTAGGGCTGGGGCTGGAGCTAGGTCTGGGGCTGGAGCTAGGGCTGGGGCTGGAGCTAGGTCTGGAGATAGGGCTGGGACTGGAGCTGGAGCTAGGGCTAGGGTTGGAGCTAGGGCTGGAGCTAGGGCTGGGGCTGGAGCTAGGTCTGGAGCTAGGGCTGGGGCTGGAGCTAGGGCTGGAGATAGGGCTGGGGCTGGAGCTAGGTCTGGAGCTAGGGCTGGGGCTGGAGCTGGAGCTAGGGCTGGGGCTGGAGCTAGGTCTGGGGCTGGAGCTAGGGCTAGGGCTGGAGCTGGAGCTAGGGCTAGGGTTGGAGCTAGGGCTGGAGCTAGGGCTGGGGCTGGAGCTAGGTCTGGAGCTAGGGCTGGGGCTGGAGCTAGGGCTGGAGATAGGGCTGGGGCTGGAGCTAGGTCTGGAGCTAGGGCTAGGGCTGGAGCTAGGTCTGGGGCTGGAGCTAGGGCTGGGGCTGGAGCTAGGTCTGGAGATAGGGCTGGGACTGGAGCTAGGTCTGGAGCTGGGGCTGGAGCTAGGTCTGGAGATAGGGCTGGGACTGGAGCTGGAGCTAGGGCTAGGGTTGGAGCTAGGGCTGGAGCTAGGGCTGGGGCTGGAGCTAGGTCTGAAGCTAGGGCTGGGGCTGGAGCTAGGGCTGGAGATAGGGCTGGAGATAGGGCTGGGGCTGGAGCTAGGTCTGGAGCTAGGGCTGGGGCTGGAGCTAGGGCTGGAGATAGGGCTGGAGATAGGGCTGGGGCTGGAGCTAGGTCTGGAGATAGGGCTAGGGCTGGAGCTAGGTCTGGAGCTGGGGATGGAGCTGGGGCTAGGACTGGAGCTGGAGCTAGGGCTGGAGATAGGGCTGGAGATAGGGCTGGGGCTGGAGCTAGGGCTGGGGCTGGGGCTGGAGCTAGGGCTGGAGATAGGGCTGGGGCTGGAGCTAGGTCTGGAGCTAGGGCTAGGACTGGAGCTGGAGCTAGGGCTGGAGATAGGGCTGGGGCTGGGGATGGAACTGGGGATGGGGTTGGAGCTGGAGCTGAGAATGGAGCTGGGGTGTTATTATTATATAACGTCTGGAGTGGATTTCCCCCACAATTCCACTGGTTGGCAGAGTGACCATAGTGTGTGTATCCCAGGGTTCTGATTGGGTGTAACAACAATGTTGATATGGTATTGACGTCTGACCCACCTTCCCTCCCGATTCCTGTCCATCACCTCAAACTGTCTCCTCAGCCACCTGGAGGGAGGATATACAGAAATAGAGAGAAGAGAGATACAGTAGTTCAGTATGAGATGGAAAGAGAGATGTTGAGTAGCTGTGTTGAGCACAGTGGAGTCTTTTGAAAGCCACCAGCCACGGTGTTTAACATTGACTTAGTCTAAGTTTAAATTGTGAAAGGACTGTATTTGTGAAAACATAAGTACTAAAAATACAAATGTGACCCAAAGCCTACAACACAAAATCATTGACTGACTGTATGGTACTTCATTGACTGTGACCAAGTCGTTGACATTTGTAAACAAAATAGTCCTAAAACTGATCATATGTACAACACTGAAGTGCCTCTCTCCCACTCTCTTTCTCTCTCAAACAAAACACTATTCCCTTTGCACTACTCTCAGTTTTCCTCCACAAACCATGGAATAGAGGAACATCAACCCCACACATTTACCCAGAATAATTATTTTTGACCAACACAAATATTGTTGCTCTCTCCAACCCCCTTCCCTGTCCCCTCTCTCCTGTGTGTGTTATAATAGTAATGCTACCGGAAACTACAAACAGGAGCCTGTTAAACAACACAGACACATCCTGATTCAGACTGTGATTAAGACACACACTCCTCTCTTCACATCTCTCCCTCTCTCACTCACACACACACACACACACACACACACACACACACACTCCTCTCCTTCCTCTCTCTCTCTCTCTCTCTCTCTTCTCTCTCTCTCTCTCTCTCTCTCTCTCTCTCTCTCGCTCTCTCACACACACACGTACCTGTCTATCTGTTGTGGTGCTGAGGCTCTCTGAGTATCCATCATCAGCCAGTTGAGTCCAGTGATCCACATATTGACCTCCTCCTCACTAAAGGCTGGAGACAGAGAGAGAGAGAGTGGGGGGGGGGGGGGGGGGGGGCAGGAGGGAGCGGAGAGAGAGAGGGGGAGAGGAGAGGGAGAGAGGAGAAAGGCACAGACAGAGAGAGCGAAGGGACAGGGACAGGAAGAGTGGAGACAGGGACAGAGAGCGAGACAGGGACAGAGAGCGAGACAGGGACAAGACGAGACAGGACAGAGGAACAGGGACAGAGACGCGAGACAGGGACAGAGAGCGAGAGGACGGAGACAGGGACAGAGAGCGAGACAGGGACGAGAGACGACGAGACAGGGACAGAGAGGAGACAGGACAGAGCGAGAGGACAGGAGACAGGGACAGAGAGCGAGACAGGGACAGAGAGCGAGACAGGGACAGAGAGCGAGGACAGGGACAGAGAGCGAGACAGGGACAGAGAGCGAGACAGGGACAGAGAGCGAGACAGGGACCGAGAGCGAGACAGGGACAGAGCGGAGACAGGGACAGAGAGCGAGGACAGGGGACAGAGAGAGCGAGACAGGGACATAGAGCGAGACAGGGACAGAGAGCGAGACAGGGACAGAGAGCGAGACAGGGACAGAGAGCGAGACAGGGACATAGAGCGAGACAGGGACAGAGAGCGAGACAGGGACAGAGAGCGAGACAGGGACAGAGAGCGAGACAGGGACAGAGAGCGAGAGCGAGACAGGGACAGAGAGCGAGACAGGGACAGAGAGCGAGACAGGGACATAGAGCGAGACAGGGACAGAGAGCGAGACAGGGACAGAGAGCGAGACAGGGACAGAGAGCGAGACACGGGACAGAGAGCGAGACAGGGACAGAGAGCGAGACAGGGACAGAGAGCGAGACAGGGACAGAGAGCGAGACAGGGACAGAGAGCGAGACAGGGACAGAGAGCGAGACAGGGACAGAGAGCGAGACAGGGACAGAGAGCGAGACAGGGACAGAGAGCGAGACAGGGACAGAGAGCGAGACAGGGACAGAGAGCGAGACAGGGACAGAGAGCGAGACCAGGGACATAGAGCGAGACAGGGACAGAGAGCGAGACAGGGACAGAGAGCGAGACAGGGACAGAGAGCGAGACAGGGACAGAGAGCGAGACCAGGGACAGAGAGCGAGACAGGGACAAGAGCGAGACAGGGACAGAGAGCGAGACAGGGACATAGAGCGAGACAGGGACAGAGAGCGAGACAGGGACATAGAGCGAGACAGGGACAGAGAGCGAGACAGGGACAGAGAGCGAGACAGGGACAGAGAGCGAGACAGGGACAGAGAGCGAGACAGGGACAGAGAGCGAGACAGGGACAGAGAGCGAGACAGGGACAGAGAGCGAGACAGGGACAGAGAGCGAGACAGGGACAGAGAGCGAGACAGGGACAGAGAGCGAGACAGGGACATAGAGCGAGACAGGGACAGAGAGCGAGACAGGGACAGAGAGCGAGACAGGGACAGAGAGCGAGACAGGGACAGAGAGCGAGACAGGGACAGAGAGCGAGAGCGAGACAGGGACAGAGAGCGAGACAGGGACAGAGAGCGAGACAGGGACAGAGAGCGAGACAGGGACAGAGAGCGAGACAGAGGACAGAGAGCGAGACAGGGACAGAGAGCGAGACAGGACAAGAGCGAGACAGGGACAAGAGCGAGACAGGGACAGAGAGCGAGACAGGGACAAGAGCGAGACAGGACAGAGAGCGAGACAGGGACAGAGAGGAGACAGGGACAGAGAGCGAGACAGGGACAGAGACGAACAGGACAGAGAGCGAGACAGGACAGAGAGCGAGACAGGGAAGAGCAGAGACAGGGACAGAGAGCGAGACAGGGAAGTAGAGCGAGACAGGACATGGAGAGACAGGGAACAGAGAGCAGACACCGGACATAACAGACAGGACAACAGACAGACAGAGACGAGAAACATACAGAGCAGGAAACATGGGGCATGGAGAAAATACATTTGGGGTAGAATAGAAATGTTGCCTTATACAACCGGAGCTACAGTAGCATGGTATTATTACAAATATGGAAATATTTATCTTCCAGCCACCCCCTGACCCTCCCAGAATATCACTAACAGATGCAATGGAGAACATTTGGAGAGCCATCAAGCAACACAGAACGCACACACACACACACACAACACACACACACACACACACACACACACACACACTGACCAGCCACGCTGAGTGTTTTGAGACGGAACTCCAGTCCGTAGAGCACGATGAAGCAGTGGGTGGAGTCTAATTTACGAGCCTCCTCTGGATAACGCTCAAAGTCCCGGGAGCCTTTACCCAACCGCAGCTCTCTGATCTCCCTGATGTCAACTAGAGAGAGAGAGGAAAATACTGTTAGTCAACACACACATAGACAGACAGACAGACACACTGCATCCCGACTCCCTCCGTGCCGACTGCATTGACAATAATGATGTTATAACAGCTACACAATGGTAATGACAGCGGGGGGAGGAGGGGGGGGGGGCATTTTAAAATATTTGGAATTAATGGTAGATATACAGTCCCGCACACACACACACACACACACACACACAAACACAAACTGGTCACACCCACAAGGAAAACTAATCTCATTGACTTAGCAGATGTCTCGAGCAAACTAAATACACAAGCACAGACAGCCAGACACTTGGGTGCACATAGAGTCAAAATAGAAAGAGAGAGATTTTATAGCTACTTTATAAGATGTGCACACACTTAAGCAACACACACACACACAGCAGGGCTGAGAGAAAAGTCGTAAAGCTGAGTGAGTAAGTGAGTGAGAGAGAGAGAGAGAGAGAGAGAGAGAGAGAGAGAGAGAGAGAGAGAGAGAGAGGGGGGGGGGGGGAGAGGAATAGAGAAATGGGGGGAGCGAGACAGAGAGAGGGGGAGAGAGGATAGATGGGGAGAGATAACGGTAGGGGAAGAGAGAGAGAAGCCACGTGGAGGAGAGTAGTGTGCATGTGAGTTAAGCATAGTTCCATAGTACCACACAACAGTACCTCAAACATACACATCCATCTTTAGCTGCAGAGCTGGCCAACCACAGTTCTACAGAGCAGCAGGTGTAAGCATTCCCATACATCTAGTCTGCAGTCTACAATACAGTCTACAGTCTACCATACAGTCTACAGCAGGGGTGTCAAAATCATTCCATGGAGTGCCTAGTGTCTGCAGGTTTTGGGTTTTTCCTTTCAATTACATTTACATTTTAGTCATTTAGCAGACGCTCTTATCCAGAGCGACCCACAGTTAGTGAGTGCATACATTATTTATTTACTTTTCATACTGGTCCCCCGTGGGAATCGAACCCACAACCCTGGCGTTGCAAACAACATGCTCTACCAACTGAGCTACATCCCTGCCGGCCATTCCCTCCCCTACCCTGGACGACGCTGGGCCAATTGTGCCTACGACAGAGCCTGAGCCTGGATTCGAACCAGGATCTCTAGTGGCACAGCTAGCACTGCGATGCAGTGCCTTAGACCACTGCGCCACTCGGGAGACGATTAATTAATTAATAATAATATAATAATATAATATGCCATTTAGCAGACGCTTTTATCCAAAGCGACTTACAGTCATGTGTGCATACATTTTTACGTATGGGTGGTCCCGGGGATCGAACTCACTACCCTGGCGTTACAAGCGCCATGCTCTACCAATTGAGCTACAGAGGACCAATTAAGCCCTAGACAACCAGGTGAGGGGAGTTCCTTACTAATTAGTGACCTTAATTCATCAATCAAGTACGAGGGAGGAGCGAAAACCCGCAGACACTCGGCCCTCTGTGGAATGAGTTTGGCACCTGGTCTACAGTCTACAGCAAGGCTATCGAACTCATTTTACCCCGGGGGCCGCATTAGGTCTTCAACGAGGTCCGGAGGGCCGCAATGAAAATTGGTTATATTCCTTGCTGTCCAAATTTGCTAAAAATAGTCCTCTATCCATCATTTTTTAAATGTCCAATGCTTGCTGACTGTCTAGTGATTTTTAGAGAGCTGGACAGTCAAGAAACTGTATGAATATAGGTCCATTATCTTTCTACACAGTTTCGACTTGGGTTTAGTTACTTAAAAGTATATTGAGTTTGTTTCCCTCTCCCCCCAAATAAATGAGGGCCGGATTGAACCCCCCTTCGCGGACCGAATGTTTGACAGACCTGGTCTACAGTCTACAGTCTATCGT